ATAAGGTGTGTGGGTGTTCTCAGCAGTTCGATAGCTCATCCTTTCACAGGCGATGGTAGATGACTAGAGAAATGCCCAATGTGAGGAGAAGATGAAATCCATGAACAACAGCAACTGGTTGGGTTTCTCTCTCTCCACTCGCATGAACATGGAGGTGTCTTCAGAGCCCCATCATCATCATCATCATAACCATCATGAGAGCCATCATCACCAAACACAAACAACCACTGCTGGTGTTTCTTCTGGAGTCCCATGCAGTCTCTTTCTATCTCCTCAGTTGAGCAGCACCGAGATCTGCTATGGAGGGGAAGGAGAGAATGGAGGACTCTATTCTCAGTTGCCTGTCATGCCACTCAAGTCTGATGGGTCTCTATGTATCATGGAAGCCCTCAGCAGATCGCAGCAACAAGGTCTGTCTCAAACCCTTTTTTTTTTATCTTTTCTTTGTCAAGCTCCTCCTTCCAACTTCCAAACAAGAGAGCTGTTTCCGGAAATGCCTGACATGGTTCTTTTCCGTTTTCTTCATTGTGAGGAAGGAATAGTGCCATCTCCGCCTCCAAAACTAGAAGATTTCTTAGGTGGTGGTCCAAATATGGGGGCCGATCACCACTGCGGGAACTATGACAGGGAAGCAATGGCGTTAAGCTTGGACAGCATGTACTACTACCAAAACTCGGAGACTCAAGGCAACGGAGCCCATTCTCTGGACGCTCTCCATGGGCAGCAGCATCATCAGCTCTTCTTGCAACCGTTGCAGGGAGGGATGTGCTCTGAACTCGCAAGCCATGATATGTATCAAGCACCGATGGAGGAGGGAACAATGGTGGAGGATGGCATTCCCAGTCTAAAAAATTGGGTGGCTAGGAACTATAACGCTTGCGACAGTGGACTGGGCGAGGAAGGTGGCATCGGCCCCAGTTCCATTGGAGCTGTTGGGTTTGGAGAGTTGCAGTCCCTGAGCTTGTCCATGAGCCCCGGGTCTCAGTCTAGCTGTGTGACGGCTCCAGCACAGGTTTCTTCTACCACCGAGCCCATGGCCTTTGATACAACGAGGAAGATGAGGCCCGCAAAGGGATGCCAAAAGCAGCCGGTTCACAGGAAGTCCATCGATACATTTGGGCAGAGAACATCTCAATACAGAGGTGTTACTAGGTCAGTATTCCATGGCGCATTCCTATATATTTCTGGTCTTCCATTTCTATAGGATTTTGGCAACTTTGTATCTTCTTCTACCTGAAGGTCTCCGTAGAGAAACATGTATTTGGTGGTATTTTTACCTCTATTAAAGAAAAAGTATCACTTTGTTTCTATTGCGATTGTGTGACATGTGATTCCTGCATCAGGCACAGGTGGACAGGTAGATACGAAGCTCATCTTTGGGACAATAGCTGCAAGAAAGAAGGCCAGACAAGAAAAGGAAGGCAAGGTTAGTAGAACATACGAATCCAAGTCTCAAGATTCTCAATGAAACCATACTGTGTTCTTTACTACAAGAAAAGAAATTGTACTGCTAATGCTTGAGTTTTGAGTAAGCTTGACTGATGATTGTATGAATCCTGGTTTGTCATGCTCCTGCCTTGGGAAATGCCATGGTTATGCTCTCCTACAGTTTATCTAGGTAGGCCTCTCATCTTTCATTTGGTTTCTTTCGATGTGTGCTACCACCAAGCACTATAACCTTGGCTTCTCCCAGGGGGTTATGACACGGAGGAGAAAGCTGCAAGAGCTTATGACTTGGCTGCATTGAAGTACTGGGGACCATCAACACACATCAACTTCCCTGTATGATTTATCAATCCGGGGAACCTTTTTTACACTTTGGATTACTAGCAATCTTGAGTGTTTGCTTACCGTGTTTCATTGCAGCTGGAAAGTTATGGAGACGAGCTTGAAGAAATGAAGAACATGAGCAGGCAAGAATACGTCGCCCACTTGAGAAGGTAAAGCTCCTCTGATTTGTGTTGTACACCGGTATACATTTGTGTGTATAGTTCAGAAATCTAATCATTTTGCTAACTTATTGATTGCAGAAAAAGCAGTGGATTTTCACGAGGAGCATCTATATACCGAGGAGTAACGAGGTATAACCCCAATCTATCAGTAGAACTAGCCATGTATTTTGCTTAATCATTTGGTATTACTTAATACTGGCTTTCCGCAGGCATCACCAACATGGAAGATGGCAAGCTCGAATTGGCAGGGTTGCTGGAAACAAAGATCTTTATCTTGGAACTTTCAGTAAGCTCCTGTTTGGTGTTCGGTCATGTTTGATACCTTGCCTTGCTTCTAAATATGATGTTTTGAACCATCAAACGTGAAATCCTCTGCCCGCATGATTTCTTTTGCTTGTTAAGCATAGTTATACTCGTGCAAGGTGGATTCTCTTTGAAGCTTTCAGTTTATATCCGAGTCCTTGAGTCAAAAGCCAGACTTGGTGCATTATTCTTTCTGATGTATCAAGTAATCTGGAACCCTAATGTTCAACTCGGTATCAGATATCACTGCTGTCTCATGAGGCACTGCTACTTCTTCTCACGGTGTAGATTGAATTTTCAGGTACTCAGGAGGAAGCAGCTGAAGCATATGACATTGCTGCGATAAAATTTCGCGGGGTGAATGCTGTGACTAACTTCGATATAACAAGATACGATGTAGAGAAGATCATGGCAAGTAGTACGTTGCTTCCGGGAGAACTTGCCAGGAAACACAAGGCAATCGAAGCAGGAAAAGATGCTCCATCAGGAAAAAATCCTAGTCGAGACCCGACCGAAGAAAACAACACTGCTGGTTCTGGATGGAAGATGGTGCTCTACCAATCTGCCCAGCACAAACCGCCATCCACCGGATCTCATGCTCACGAACCGATGATCATGGGTGGTGAGTATCGGAGCCCCATGACGTTCCCAGCGGCACTTCATGGCCTGATCGGAGTAGAAGCAGGGAGCTCGGTGCAAGGAGTCGATGATTCGGAGAAGATGAGCAATGCCCACTTATCAAACCAATCATCGCTGGTGACCAGCTTGGGCAGTTCCAGAGAAGGGAGTCCCGACCGGACCGGTCTCTCCATGATGTACGTCAATGCCTCAACCAAGTTCAATCCAACTCCGATGAGTTCATCGGCTCCACCGGCGCAGCCGAGGCCGACCATTGCCATGTCTCAAATGCCAGTATTTGCTGCATGGAATGATGTTTAAGCAGTCTCTCACGACGACAAAGCATGCAAAGTCCATGATGGAGTGACAGCAGAAAGCAAAGTTCACACTGGCTAAAGCGAGGAGATGCCCTTTTTTATTCCTTTCAGATGGTTTGGGAGCAGAGATTGGTGATGCATGATCTTTGTGGGATCAACCTTGCCTCACATGTCAGTGGCCTCTTTTGCACCTTTAACTTTGGGGCCTATATAGGTGGAGGGATTTTTGCAGGGAGTGGGCCAAAAGACAAAAACATGTCACTGTGTGAGATGATGTTTAGTTACTACTACTCTGATTTGGGGTCTTGCCAAGTACATCATGAAAAGCAGCTCCATGCCTCAAAGCAATGCTGTTTTTATCTTTTTTGACCACCTTGTTGAGTGCAATCACTAACATTCTCCTTTGCTCTGCCTTCCAACATTCTCCATTTCCTTTCTCCAAAGGCTGTATGTAGATTCTCGAATCATGGTGTGGAGAAGAAACCCAGCTGTGGCTGTAGCTGTGGCTGTGGCTGTGGTGTAGGGGTCTTTCTCGCATGGCATAGGATTCTGGGGGCTCTGCTAAGCCTCTTTATAAACAAGTGACATTTACTTTGTCACAGGTGACCAGCTTGAAGTACTCTCGAGGGTGGATTAAAAAGCTTAACACGAAGACTTACTTGTCCATCGATGAGGCGACGAAACCTCTCGATGCAAAGTTGGCATTCCACGGTCGATGATGCTGTTCTTGGTGTACTTTCTCTGTCGGAACTCTTGCTCTCTTCCGCTGCCTTCGTTGTTCTATTATTGCCGATTTGGTAATCGGAAACAAGGATCTCTCGACGTGTCGAGGATGAACCGAAGGAGGAGGCATTGATGTGGAAAGGGTTCCACGGTCTCCTCATGAAGCATCTGAGGCGAAGTACCGAGCGAACGCCATCTTCTTTGATTGACCGCGATCGACCACCGCACTGCAGGCGGACACCCTGTGGCCAGGCGACGGAGGAGAGAACCGTCCGTAATCTCTAACCATCCCTCCGTACCAACTGATTCCCGTAATCTCTTTGTTGAGTATAATAAAAATTTAAATCTGACTCGATTGATAAAAATTCTTTTAGAAATAACTCTAGAGAGAAGAATTTTAAAAGCGAGAATTAGAAGATTTTTCAAATTTACCAACTGTTTATACATAGTTGCCACATGGAATCTAAGTCATTCTATCTATGTGTATGTATATTAATGAAGTGGAGAAATATAAACTTCCTTCTCTCCCTTATTATATAACAAGGAAGATAATTCTAAACTTTTTTTTTCTTTTTTTACGATAAATAAGATAATCCTAAACTCTCTTATCTTCTTTTGTGACAATGAAGGACATTATATACTTCATTCCCTTCCTTCAAAGTATAAAAACATATCCTAAACAAGAAAAAAGATAGAGGACTATCTCCTTTCTCGAATCACTCGATAGTTCATATTTAGAGATCTCGGATTGCTAACTTGAGCGTCGAAGGGACCGAGCCAGGAAACCTCCCCGACCTTAGTCTTCATGCAGGTACCACCTCGAGAGTACAATACTTTCACCTCAGGAGCTCAACACCTTCACCTCGGATCCACCTTAGAATCACCTTGGAGTCACTTCGAACAATCCTGGACATATGGATTTGGACCACATCGGGTTGACCAAGACATCAACGATATTTTCCCATAACATTTTAATGCTAGAAAGAAGGCTTGGTGTTGTAGGAATATCCGCTTATCAACCCTCTTAAAGAATGCTCCAACGATGAGGCCCCACCTCCAACCCATATCACTTTTACTAAGGGGGGCAATCGTCATCCTTCTCATATGTAGATATATCTGTCATGGTGGGAAGACCCGAGATCCGCTATGACGGAAAAGGGACATAAAATCCACCATGACAAAAAAAGATCTGAAGCTGACCACGGTGGAAAGACTTGAGATCCGCTATAGCAAAGAGGGAACATAAAATCCACCACGACAAAGAAGATTTAAAGCTTGCATGGCGAGAAGGCCCGAGATTTGCTACGATGGAGAAGGGATATAAAATCTACCATAACAGAAAGAAGATTTAAATCCCGCCATGGTGGGAAAACCCGAGATCCGTTACGATGGAGAAGGAACATAAAATCCGCTATGGTAGAAAGAAGATTTGAAGCCTGCTACGGTAGGAAGACCCAAGATCCGCTACGACGAAGAAGGGACATAAAATCCACCACGACAGAAAGAAGATTTGAAGCCCACCATGGCGAGAAGACGCAAGATCAACTACAACGGAGAAGGGACATGAAATCCACCATGACAGAAAGAAGAGTTAAGCCTGTCACGATTGGAAAACTCAACCTGTTCTAAGATAAATATGCTATAACGGAGGCACAAGCCCGAATACGCTTGAGAAGCATAAGTTGGGAAACCCGATTGACATCGAAATAAATCTGCTATAGTGAAAGCATAAGGCCAAACGAGGCCGAGACACGTGAGTCAAAAAAAACCCAATCAACATTAAAATAAAACTACTACAATGAAATCGTAAGGAAGAATGATCTCAAGACGTGTGAGTTGGGAAAACCTAATCAACACTAAAGTAAATCTACTACGGCGAAAGCGCAAAACCAAATGCGCCCGAGACAGGTAAGTTACGAATACCCCATGGGCACCAAAATAAAATCGCTACGACGAAAGCACAATGCCAAATGTCTTCGAGACACATGAATCAGGAAGACCCGATCGACACCGAGATAAATATGCTTTGATGAAAATGCAAGACCCAACACGCCCGAGATATGTGATTCATGAAGACCAGATTGGCACCGAGATAAATCCGCTATGATGAAAATACAATGTCGAATGTACTTGAGACGCGCGAGTCGAGAAGACCTAATTGGCATCGATATAAATCCGCTACAACGAAGGCATAGGCTAAATATGGTCGAAATGTATAAAGTCGGGAAACTCGACTAACGCCAAAGAAAAACCATTACGATGGAGGCATAAGCCCATCGCACCCCGAGATACTTAAATCGAGAAAACCCGACCCGCACGTGTTTCGAGTCCCTTAACGGAGAAACCAAATGATGTGTTTCGAGTCCCTCTTGCAAGAGCCTCGAAACATGCCTTTATGAGGGACAAATGATAGGAAATTTATCAACAGTTAATACACAATCGTCATGTGTCATCCAAGTTATTCGTTTACGTATATAAAGATTCAAAACAAAGAAACACAAGCTCTTTCTCGTTTATTATGGTAATGAATGTAATAACAAATTTCCTTCTCTCCCTTTTATGACAAGGAAAACAATTCTAAGCTTTCTTCTCTTCTTTTATGATAAGAAAAATAATCTTAAACTTCATTTACTTTCTTTATGATAACAAATGACATTACAAACTTTTTTCCCCTCCTTCGACATATAAAAACACATTCTAAACCGGAAACATGAAAAAGGAAGGACTCTCTCCGTTCTCGAGCTACTCGAGCCCACATTTAGGAACCTTAGATTACTAACTGAAGTGTCAGAGGGATCGGGTCGAGAAACCTCCCCCGACCCTAGTCTTCGTGCATGTACTATCTGGGGAGCACAATACTTTTTACCTCAAGAGCATAATACTCTTACCTTGAGAGCTCGATACCTCCACCTTAGATCAATCTCAAAATCACCTCGGAGCAATCTCGGAGACATTTCGGACAATCCCTACACACACGAGTTTGGATAACCAAGACGCCAATCATATTTTCTCCTAATAGTTCACTATACTCTTTTCACAAGAGAGCTGATATGTAATTGCTACGAGCAATAGTAATCCAAAGACTACGTGTAATTATAGCCAACAAATTCTATCGGAATGTCTAAACTAATCAAAGAACAAAAAAAAAAAAGTAACAGACACAAAGTAAGAAAACAAATAAATAAATAAATAAAATATTTTTTAAAAGATTTTCATCTTAAAATAATATTTTAAAAAAAAGATTTTCATCTTAAAATAATAATACAAAGCAGCAGGTCATGCCTGCCTCCGAACTGCTGCGTGTCTCATTCTGGCATGATTTGCAAGCCCGTTAGCATATCTGTTGCCTTTCTGATAAATGTGAGAAATCTTAGTACCCCAAAATTTGGGAACCTCCTCTTTTGTATACATCACTGCACTGCTGTATACATCATGAGCGAAGAACATGCATATCACATTATTTCTTTGAATCACCATATCACTGCTTTCTCTTCCCTTTCTTTTGGCCTGGTGAGTAACCCATCTGATAGGGGTAAAAACAAATAGGGCGCAACATACCGGATCTGACATAACACCGCTCGCTGTCAGCCTCGACCGGACGGCACACTGCCCCAACAGACGAACATTAATGTCAGCGTGACGCGCACCCTCGCTAGCCATACCCAGACCACGCATGCCCGGACGAGGCAGGGGAAGGCGTCGACCAAGGCTCGCCATACCCTGCGGCGACTCGACTCGACCGTCCACGCAACGCCCACTTCGACAACGGACAGGGTCAGGTGCACGGCCCTGCCCCGGCAAGATGGCGTGTCAGGTAACATCGAACTCACCTATAAGTACCCTCGGGCTTCAAGCGGGCAAGGTGAGCAGACAAGCACGCGATTTTCCCCAAAAACTCCCCTCTACACCACTAACTTGACCGTTGGAGGGGTTGGGCCGAATCACCGACCTGACCTTAGTGCAGGTACTCGGTTGAAGCCGACCCAACCCGGCGACGCGGAGCATCCCAGCCTGATTCCCCGTGATCGGCCGCCTCGAGGTCCCGAGTCTTGCAATCTCTCCTGATCCTAGTCGTTCGGACCCCAGAACCAACCGCGTCGACCCCCAGGTCACGGCTAAAAAAGTTACTTACTGTAACACCATCAGTTTGATTGTCGTCTTGGATCTCAAAGATGGATGTCTCGTGTTACCGTCCTCGTTGTGCATGAGATCCGAGGAGATGTTCTTCCCACTTCCAGAGTCCTCGGTCGGTTCGTCATAAAAGATCATCATCTCACCGTCTCTCTGTCTTTCGCTGCAATCTCTCTCGTCATCCATCGAACATTAGAAATCCCTGGTCATGTTGGTCCACAGTTTCCAACAAGCACGACACGGAATCTACTCGACCACCGACCCTCTCGTGTTGCACCAACCGATGCTAACCCTTACAAGAGAGGGATGATGCAAGAGGAAAGGACATCGATGGAGATGCAGATGGAGATTGTGCTGCTGCTGCCACTGCGCCATGCAATTATGCGAAGCTAAGCTCTTCTCGGACATCATCACTCCACGAAATGACGACGCCCACTGCCATTGAGTTTTGTCATCTGCCGTAACGTGCATGGCATCACGCTTTTGCCTCTCGGATACTGGTACGACCATCTCCATCTCCTCTCGATCTCTTATGCTCTCGGACACTGATACGACCATCTCAGCCCTACCATCTCCTCTCAAGCTCAAGCTCCAATGGCAGAGACCAACCTCTGTTACACCCCCCCCCCCCCCTCATCCCTTGGTGGCGTCACGGTCTTACTACTCCAATTGGAGGTCCATCAACAAGACTATTAATTTGGAGGTGGAAAGAATGGAGGATGCACTTCACCTTTTCCTCCCATCATAATTGTTCCTTGGTGTTGCAGTAAGCACGCATCTCGATAGGAATGTTGGGCTGTCCACTGTCCAAATAATAAGATCCTTAGCATCCCCCGTCAACGTTTACCTCTCAACACCATCGCCACGGAAGAGACAGAGAGAGAGAGAGAGAGTGATAAAAGACCGCATTTTTATCCACCTGGTTGCTCTGCGTCCGCTGGCCGCTGTCTAATGGCGACGCGACCACCTCGGGTGGCGGAGCTCCTACTGTTACTACCATCATTGCTCCTCCTCCTCCTCTTGCCGCAGCAGGTAGTCTCCGATCCGGACGATGAGGCCTGCCTCTCCAACCTCCGCAGCTCCCTGACGGACCCAAACGGCAGCCTCCGGAACTGGACGGCGGACACCTTCGCCGCCCCCTGCAACGGTTTCACCTCCTACCTTGAGGGCGTCACCTGCAACAACGGCCGCGTGTACAAGCTCTCCCTGCAGGGCCTCTCCCTCGGCGGCGCCCTCTCCACCTCCCTCGCCAACTGCACCAACCTCCAGTCGCTCGACCTCTCCTCCAACGCCCTCTCCGGCGCCATCCCCCCGGAGCTCGCCTCCCTCCTCAACCTCGCCGTCCTCAACCTCTCCTCCAACCGCCTCTCCGGCCGAATCCCCCCCGAGCTCGCCCTCTGCTCCTACCTCAACGTGCTCGACCTCCACGCTAACCTCCTCACGGGGCTCATCCCCGACCAGCTTGGTCTCCTCGTCCGCCTCTCCACCTTCGACGTCTCCGACAACCGTCTCGAGGGGCCCATCCCGGCGCTGCTAGCCAACCGGACGGCGGTGGGCGGCGCCGGGGCCGCGGCTCTACCCAGGTTCAACGCCAGCTCGTTCGTCGGGAACAAGGACTTGTACGGGTACCCGCTGCCGCCAAAGCGGGGCGGCGGCCTGTCGGTTCTTGCCATTGTCGGGATCGGCGTCGGCAGCGGGCTTCTCAGCTTGGTGCTCAGCTTCACTGCCGTTTGTGTTTGGCTTCGGGTCACGGAGAAGGCCGCGCCGATGCCCGGCGAGGAGGGAAAGATATCGCACCTCATGCCCGACTACTGACCGCTTCCCCTTTCAGCTCCGCATTATTTCTCCATTGGCCTCTGCTTTTGTTTTTTGTTTTTTGTTTTTGCTTTTTTCTGAGAGTAAATACTGACTGCTCCTTTTTCATTCTCCCTCTTCTGATTCACAATTTGTGTTGATCGAGAAACGAATTAGTATGTACAGCGAGTCACTGCTTCCTTGCGGGATTTGGTGTGGTAAATTCACATCATAAATAGTCGCTTTTGTCCTCTGCTGTTTCGTCTCGAGCACATCAGTCGCCGTCGATAAACTGCATGTTCCCCCAGCAGACTCCTCGGATCCAATATGAATGGGAAATGCATTATTGCAGCAATACCGTCCGATACACCGCAGACGAGCAGCATGAAATGAACGTGAAGAGTGCTGACACAGACGCAGTCACTGCACTGACCATCCGCAGGGCTCCTGTGATTGTTATGATGAAGAAAGCTCGCTCGCTGCTCACAGGTGTCTTTTTTTTGCTTCTTGGTAATCAGGATGAACACAAACCTTCGTCCGTGAAACCAAACCAAACCAAACCAAATCACAGAGTGGCAGAACTGACTGGGATTGAGAATTTGCAAGAGAAAGAAGGGTGGGCCACGTCCAAAGCAGCCTCTTATTTTTTTCTTTGGGAAAGGCGTGCAGGCGTGCTCAAGGGCGCGGGCCCTATGCCAAAAGTTTCGTGGTGGAGCGAGCAGCTTTGCATGCAAGAATGACACGCCATGCGACATAGAATAGACAATGGAGGGATGCCTTGTTCCTTCCAACCTCGATGCTTCCCACCTTTCGCATCACGAATCCTCCCCTTCCATCGACCTCATATGCATTCGTTTCTTAATGCGGTAGCGTGAGCTGGTCAAACACCCTTCATCTTATTTCTTTTGGATTCGTTTCTCTTTTCAGCAGGACCGCCCATGCCAACTTAAATCTACCAAGCACTTTTTCTTTTCCCTCGTGATAATGGTGTACATTAAATCAAAACTTCAAAAATAGACGTCTTACCCTGTTTTCTCCTCTGTCATGCTCTCCACATTTACAGCTGCAAGTATGGACATGTCCCATTCCTCCTCTCCAGCTTCACCTCAGCAACTTCTGCAGCACAAGAATGCATCCTTTGCTCTCTCATTAAAGAGAGACACATTGAAAGTTGTCAAACAATTTTTGCAGACACGAGATGGGTAAGAAAAAAGTAGTATAGCAATGCAAGATGAAGACATGCGAGTGATGACACCTTTATTGTCTTGGTTTTGATCAGGGGCCGCATTGTATTCCGTGGCTTTTGCTCTGAAATCTGTGTGCAGCAGATGGGAGTAAAAACATGAAATGCTTGGATAAAATCGTTTTTAAAAAAAGGGTACAAATCCTTTAATGTATGACTATTCCATCCAAATAAAATTCTCATGCATAAATAAAACAAATCAATCTGTTTCGGTGTTTTGTTTTGTTTTGTTTTTTGGTATTACACCATCTCTTAGTTGTACATGCAAGTGGACCACCAGCACCATTGTACCAGGCATAGACTTATTAAACAGACAATTATAATCGACTCCAACACTACCGGTGGTGACAGGTGGTGTTCGCTAGCAGAAAGTATAGTGGTGGCTCAACATATTTACTCTGCTGCTGCTGCATCTTAGAGTGAACAGAGCAACTGAGTTTGTGTTTATTTTAATTGGTACCTCAGCATTTATAAGGTATCTACATCCACATGCTACTGATGATGTTTCAATTGAAGACATAATCCAGCCATTAAATAACATCCTTGAAAATATCAGTAGTCATGAATTTACATGGAACACAAACCACAGAAAGCAGATCAGCAAATGATATCAACTTGTTAATGATGGCAACAAAAATGCCTACAATTCCCACTACCATGCTCTAAACAAAAAGTTAATGTAGTCTCTTCCCTTTTTTTCCCCATGAATGCATCACAATCTCCAACTTAAAGAATGCATGGTTTCAAGAATTCTTATGTATCTTTTTTGTCTTTTGATGATATCAACTTACAAATTCGTTTGTGACCCAGATGATCAAGATTAATAACAAAAACTTTCTTCCTACTTTCAAGGGTAAGATTATGTATGTCGACACTCCCTATTCCCTGCATTAATGGGTGGCTCGTGAATTAGGCCACTTTTTTCTTTTAAGAAAACAACTATATTGAAAAATTCTACAACAACGTAGAAAAGTCATTGTCCATGGAAGACATCAACTATCTTAAAGAATTTCCTATAATAATTTAGAAAATTACTATTGACGAGCTTGTTGAAATTTATTTCCCTTGCTCTAATAGGAGGGTATACTAACAACAAGCAGGGTCATCTGTGTGAATAAGTATGTCATTTATGGGTCTTCAGTGCACACATTCCACATTACACAATTTCTATCTGCTAATTTCACATAAACATTTCTCATACTACAAATATAAAATAATATTCGTAAATTGCATTGTTTAGCTCATGAAGAATTTCACATAAACATTTCTTTGGCTTCAACGCCCCAAGAATAGTTCAAAGCCAAATATTTTGGCATTACGGAGTTTTTTATAAGACTGAACTTTAGCACAAAGTCTATGCAATTTAAATTGAAATTCATCTTGCACTTTGTATAATCTTATACACTAAAAACAAGTTCTCTTTAATTGTTGCATTACCCATATATTTTACATGCAGTGTGCATGTGACAAATGTGCCAAACCATTCATGACCATAAAAGATGACAAAGTAACTATGACACGCTCCTGCACAATATAGGAGTTGTCTGATTCGTTACTTATTTACATACTATAAAAAAAATACAGCACTAAGTAAATCTTCCCGGACAATGAAATATTTAAGACCTAAGCATCAGCCACTTGCACAGGATATGTTAGTAGACGGTTTTAAGCACACCAAGATCACTCAGAAATCATTCTAAATCCACTGGAAAATCACTTTAACACAAACAAAGAAATCATTTAAGAAAGCAGCTTGCCATGAAAATAAGAGCAATATGCAATCATAATCTGCTTCAATATAATTTCCAAAATAATGCACAAATAAATGATGCGATCACTGCAAAATAAAAGAACAGCCTTGACAAACAACTTAACCAAGAAAGGTCAGATGTATTGTACGCAAGCTCCATACCACATAAGAACATAACTTGCTCTATCGTACTATTTAGATATCAAGCAAATCAACTTACGAATTTTCATGAGAACTAATGGAAAAAAGAATCACAGCGGAGGCAAAGAAACTATAATTAGGTCAACAAAATCTAACATTTTCCTGATACAAAAATCGAAGCACAAAGAACTTCTCAAAGAACACCAATCAAATGCAAACTCGAGCCATTTGTTACATGGAATTCATCCACAGAACTGCTATTCTTAGTTGAAAGTGTTACAACCGTGACTCTTTTGTCTAATATTAATAATCAAGTTGGAATGGTATATTTGTCCTTTACACTAGGATTCTATCTCTTGTTAGGAGAGCAACAACTTGATATGTTGGTGTGGAGATAGTTGGAAGGGGAGTACATCTGACATCACATATGTAGTGTCATTTTACTTAAATTGGATTCCTCAGTCCTCTTCTCTTTGTTGATGGTAGAGGGGAGATCGAGAAGTCTGTAGGAGTTTCATCGAAAGACAGAGGGGCATCGTCGAAAAGTATTGAGGTAGGTGTCCCATCTCTTTCTCCTAGTTTAATCTCACAAAACTATGATCATCATCTTGATTTCACAAAATATCATTCATGTTACTATGTTCATGATTTTCTTCTCAAATCTAATAAAAACTTACTGTATCATGCTTTCTACTAGAAACAAATATATTTATATATTGTGCTCTAAAGTTATGTGATGAAATAACACAAAAGAATAACAACCTAACTTATGATAACAATACCAAGTTATATTCTATCAAACACAAATACAAAGGACCAATAACATCACATGTAAGAAGTATAAAGTTTATTATAAAAATAACAACCTAACTTATTACATAAAATGTTCAAAAATTAATCATGGTTTGAAAAGCTAACAAGCAACAAAAAATAACTCTTAGGTCGACTGCTCAAAGGTAGGACATGTGTTGTTCCTCCTATCGTTGCTCGTCATTGTCTTGTGTCTCCGAAAAATTTTACAATAATAACATTTAGCAACAATATCGAGTAGGGTAATCTTGAATATACAAAAAGTGCATCAAGGTAGATGGTACAAATTAAAATAACAAAAAGGATATAACAATCAGCGATTAATACATTGAATACTGCAAAATACAATCCACACAATACAACAAACAATATATACATATACAACATCATATACACATGCAAAGGGCGATTGACAGTGGATGCCTGCAGCACCTAAGGCATCTGTGGACATCCCATTTGCACGTGTATATGATGTTGTATATGTACATATGATTTGTTATATTGTGTGCATTGTATTTTGCATTATTCAATACATTAACCACTATTTGTGCTATCATTTCTGTCATCTTATTTCGTATTGTCTGCCTTGATGCACCTTTTGTTTATTCGAGATTATCCTACTCAGTATTGTTGCTGAATTTTATTATTGCAAAATTTTTCAAATGCACAGGACAATAACGACCAACAACAAGAGGAACAAAACATGTCCTATCTCTGAATAGTCAACCTAACATTTGTTTTTATTGTTTGTTAACTTTTTAAACCGTGCCCAAATAATGTTGGAACATTTTATTTTATGTAAGAGGAACAACACATGTCCTATCTTTGAGGAGGACGACCTAACATTTGTTTTTGTTGCTTGTTAGCTTTTTAAACCATGACCAAATAATGTTGGAACATTTTATGTAATAGGTTGTTATTGTTACAATAAGCTTGAGACTTCTATCATGTGATGATATCACGTGATGTTGTTTACCCTTAGTATTTGTGTTTGAAATAACATTAAGACATACCTCGATATTTGTATAATAAGTTAGGTTGTTATTCTTTCATGTTATTTCATCACATAACTTTAGAAGCATGATCCAACAAGTTTTTACAACATGTCAACTCATACATGTTAAAAAATCTAGATTTGAGAAAAAAAAAATCATGAACATAGTAACATGAATGATATTTTATGATATCAATAATGAGAGATATATTTTATGAGATTAATATGGGAAGAAGGGATGGGATACCTACCTCAATCCTTTTCAGTGATGCTGTGATGAAACTCTTACAAACTCCACGATCTCCCTTCCATTGAGGAATTCAACTTAAGTAATGAAACCACATAAGTAATGTCGGATTTACTCAATCCCCTTCTAACTATCTCCACAACAGCATATCAAGTTGTTGCTATGTTAGAGATAGAATCCTACTGCAAAGATAACATACCCTTCCAACTGGATTATTAATATTAGATAAAAAGTGACGGTTATGTCAGAATGTGTAAGAATATTCCATAACCTTAAAACATTGCAAGTCCAGAACCAATCAAGAAACAGGAGAGAGGTGTCAAATTTACCGAAGAACACAGTAAAATACAAACGTGAGTCGTTTTTTATACAGAAATCATTCACAGAACTGCTATTGATAGTCGAAAGCGTCAAGAAACTCCATAACCCTCGAACATTGCAAGAAGAGAACGAATCAAGAAACGGGAGAGAGGCGCCAAATTTAACAAAGAACAGAAATATTGCAACCATGAGCCATTTATTATGCCGAAATCACTCACAGGACTGCTATTGACATTTGAGAACGTCACAAAACTCCATAACCCTCGAACATTGCAAGAAGAGATCGAATCGAGAAACGGGAGAGAGGCGTCAAATTTACCAAAGAACACCAGTAAAATACAAACATAAGCCATTTGTTATGCTGAAATCACTCACAGAACTGCTATTGATCGTTGAAAGCGTCGCAAAACTATACAACCCTCGAACGTCGCAAGAAGCGAACCAATCAAGAAACGGGAGAGGCGTGAAATTTACCGCAAAGGTGATGGCGGTGGCACTAATCAATACGGAGAGAATAAATCTCCAACCCCTGGACGCGTACTCCTCTCCTGCCACGTGTTTTGGTCGCCCTGCCTGTCATTGGGGCTCATCTCCAAAACAAAGCTCCAAGTTGAGAGGCTCAGTTCACAGGCATGCTTCGACGGATCGCTGATAGGGGGGAGGAACATGAAAGAGTTCTCGAAACCAAGGATGGATCTGGAGAATGACTCGGTCGGCAATGGCATCGGAAGAAACGAGAGCGGCGAGCGAACCGCCTCGTCCGCGTCTTCTTTTCGGAATAGCTTTTTGGCATACAAGGGAGGGTGTCTTATTTCGGACTCGGGTCGGAAATAGGTCGGTTTACACAATAAGATCCGACCCACGAACTCGCCCTTGGGCTCCGATATCGATCATGCTCGCATTAAAGGCCCAAGACATGGGCGTGGATTCAGCGGACCATATCCAATACAGTCCACCAAATCCCACCAATCAGAGCTCTCGTTTGATGGGTTCAATTCACGAATGTATGCAATACCTTTTTTTTGCTTTTGAAGCAAATTATATCTGACAAAACCTTTGCAATTAGTAGTGGAAAAATCTGTGAGCCACAATTTATTGTCAATATGGACACTAGGAAAACTCTACCACATTGGTTCTTTTTATCATGCATTTGTCAGAAATTGAAAGGACATTGACTTTTCCAACTAACAGCAGATTATCAAGTGTACAAAGTCAATGTCCAAAGAAAAGAAATGTCCTTTGGACAAAGTCAATGACCATTGACCTCATGATTGATCTCATGATTGATAATAATAAATATTCAATCACTGTTTTGAAAAAAAGAAAAGAATTAAACTAATCCAGTGTACAAATATTAGAAGTAATTTTGGATCAATACAAATCCTCTAATTTATTTCCACCTAGTGAATGAAGTTGAGGGGTTTAGTGAAAACACACCTCTTTGTTTCAATGGTGATACACAGTGTCAGCTGCAGCCCCAGCATGATGGAAGCTGTATCACCAACACTTGCAACTATTAGGATCTTGTAGGTCATGACTTTGGGTAACACCACCAGTAATTAACACAAAGAGCTTAAAATCTCAGCTTGCAGTGCAAATGTTGCATATGTGGAGATATTGGGAAGAATCAGAACCCGGAATCCCACTCCTTAGGTGCTTCAAGCTTGGTTATTATGCTTTGCAAGTAAACTTAGTCTGCTTGAGAGTCTTCACCAGAAATCTCCACAGGAGCAAGTGCCATCGCTAAAACAATGAAACCTATGTGCATCCCTCACAGTAATCTCCCTTCCGGTGATTGCAGAAATAAACTTGATCGAACTATGGCAATCTCCACATATTCTAAGATTCTTCACCACCAATATTGGTACTCCTTCGGCAGTACTGATCAACCCGAATGCAACAGCAAGTTTCTCACTGTGGTATCCAGCCCTTGTCTCTCCTGTAATATTATCCCTTATGGGAGCCCATCTCACATCTGGGACATACCCAGCTAGCTTCATCTTCTTCGACATCTCCTCCAAGAACTGGCAGATATCCTTAATCCTTGGATGTGTAACATCATCAGCAACAAACACATGGATTTTCTTCTCCAGTTCAATCCAACTGCAACCCGGTTTCTTCCTTACCCCTCTGTCTTTCATCAGCTTTCTAACTGTCGCAAACTCATCCCATCTACCTGTGCTAGCATACATGTTTGACAGCATCACATAGGCAGCTGCATTAGCAGGCTCCAGCTGAAGAAGCTTCTCTGCAGCCATTGCACCCAGCTCCAAGTTTCCATGGGTCCGACAAGCACTGAGTAATGTAGACCATCCAATCAAGCCTGGATCAAATGGCATTCTCTTGACTAGCCCCTCAGCCTCATCAAACTTCCCAGCTCGAGCCAGAAGATCTAGCATGCACGAGTAATGCTCTTCTCCAGGTTGAATATCATACTTTTGTTTCATAGAATTGAAGTACTTCCAACCCTCATCAACCCTTCCGGTGTGAGCACACGCGGAAAGCACAGAAATGAAAGTGATGCTCGTGGGCACATGATCCAAATTAAGCATCTCTTTGAACAGAACCAACGCTTCTAATCCAAGTCCGTGCTGAGCATATGCCCCGATCATTGTGTTGAACGAGACCACATTCTGTTTGGGCATCCTCTTGAACAGCATATGAGCATCCCTGAGATTGCCACATTTTGAATACATGGAAATTAGTGCATTGTCGACCGAGATTTGGTTGCTTGGAAACTCAGTTTTAATCGTCAGTCCATGCATTTGCTTCCCTTGAGATGGGGATGACAGATTTGAGCATGCACTGATTGCACAGACAAAGCTGCAATCATCAGGCCTGAAACCGGCTCGCTGCATCTCACGAAAGCATTGGATACCTTCCTCGGAGAACTCATCATTGACAGAGTACCCCGAGATCATAGTGTTCCATACAACCAAATCAGGATCATCAACCTCCTCGAAAACTTTCCTTGCGTCGCGTATCTGACCGACCTTCGAGTACAGATCAATCAGACCACTTCCGACATGTGAATTCCTCTCAAAACCCGTCTTGATCAGCTGTGCATGGAATTGTGCACCGCCATCTAAGTCCTTCACTGATGTGAATGCTGTCAGCAGACTCGCCAGCGTGTACATGTCAACTTCGAATTCCCTCCTCATCATTTCCTGAAACAAGTTGAGAGCTTTCGGTCCTCGCCGGTGCTGCCCGTAAGCCACGATCATGCAGTTCCAAGAAACAGCATCTCGCGAGGTCACCATCCCACCAAAAACCCTTTCGGCTTCATTCAAGAGGCCACCTTTACTATAGCTGCTGATAAGAGCATTGTTGACAGATACATACGAGTCAAGACCCGAGGCGATAGCAAGCGAGTGTAACTGTTCGACGTCATCAACAACAGAGGAGATGACAGAGGAGAGGGTGAAGCCATCGGCATCAGAGCCAAGGCGGCGCATGTGTGAGAAAAGGCGGACGGAATCGAGGGAGCAGGCGCCATCCGCAGCGGCAAAGGCAGAGAGGAGGGTGTTGTAGGATACGAGGTCAGGGAAGGGGATCCGTAGGAAGAGGCGATGAGCTGCGTCGGGGTGGGACAGGCGGGCATAAGCGGCGAGGAGGGCGTTGTGGGAGAAGACGTTCGGTTGGGAAATTTCATCGAACGACTGGTGAGCGAGCGCGAGCTGGCCGCAGCTCGAATAGAGAAGGACGAAGTGGTTGGCGAGGTAGGTGGAGGGGGGAACGAAGGACTTGAGGAAGAGGGCGTGGAGGGCGCGGCCGGCGGTGAGGTCGCGCCGGCCGATGCAGGCTTTGAGGAGGTCGCGGAAGCGGAGTGTGGCGGATTGGAGTTGCGATAACTGAGCCGAGAGTAGGTTCATTCGAGGACCCGCTCGCACGCCTGCCGACTGGCTTCACGACGACTGGGTTCATCGAGTCTATAAGCGTACGCCCAATGCATTTGATCGAATCAGCTCGAGTGCTCCATGTATGTATTCAATGCATGTGGTGTTTAGTTTGAAGAGTATGAATATTGGTGCACCTGTATATTTATTCGAACCAAATTCAATTCAAATAGATAATAATTAAACCAACCTAAAATAATTTGACTTGAAGTTGGTTGGTTAGATTCAATTTGAGTCAAACAAGTTTGAATCTATCTCAATCAATCAAACTGGGTTGATAAGTCAACATTTGATCGTAAGTTTTACCTTTTAGTAAGTCTCTAAAGATAATCAAAATTTGAGGGTAAGTGTAATCCGATAAACTTACAAGTATTGGTGCCCCTACTCCTTAACCAATATAAGACTAAATATATTTATCAGTGCTCCCCTCGTAGGGGAGCCAAGGGCTCATGACCCTTCATTTAGTGTCAAAATATTATTGTTTTGATATCATTAACCATGGAGTCGCCTTGACTTGGTTTGATATTGAAGGCGTAAACTCATCCAATTCATGGGGGGTCATGAAAGGAGATTGGAGCGGGAAATAGGTCCAGTTGGCACGATCCTAAGATGCTGCTTGTTTGCAAGTGGATTTGGTATCGTCTCGAGGTGCACCTTAGCCTCGTTGAGGTCCCTGCATTAGCGATCAACGTTAAGAGATGTTTCTGCCCCGACCTCTCCGATAGTAAACTCAGTTGGAAGGTGACAATAGTAGAGATCCTTTCCCCTTTAGGCTTTGGGGCTAACTTTTATACATGAACGACCGATGGAGTGCGATTGTGGCTGGTCAAGGAGTCCCTCACATTGTCAAGGGGCTCATTTAAGTTGACGACCGGTGAGAACTCCTCTTTGAGGGTGGCGTCAGAAGAATAGTAGCAAGAGCATCGTTTATCGAGCTTGTTTGAGATAAGCAAGAGATGGTTCCCCTTGCCACTTGTTGAATGTGCGAGTCTTCCCGAAATCATAGTTGATGGTATGTGACAAATTACTTAGCGATCAGTGACCTATAAAAGGGAAAAGGGAGGGATGAGCCTCACTGTCGAGGATTAATACACCCCTCATTTGGCCCTGCCTCACTGTCGAGGATTAATACACCCCTCATTTGGCCCTTCCAAAGATTGAGATGGGCAGGGTTTGGAGGATCATGCTCCTATCGATGATCCGATGCGAGACGCATGGGTTCTTTCACCAAGTGGTAGTTTCCGACTGGATCAATCGATCCAATCGATAATGTAACGCTTACATAGTTACTTTTCCTATTAGGAACAAAAGGTGATTACTTCCCCCCACAGATGTCTCTATCCGAGAGGACCCAACGACAGTTCCCCCACATATCAGAGAGCTGGCACCAGTGAAGCCATGAGATGAATCTACCTGAAGTATGTTTATTTACTAAGCAGAAAGGAAATCATCCATTAAGAACATGAAGTGGCGGAGAGATGAGGGAACGTAACATGCAGGCTTCAGCTTACACTTGGATGACATTTCAATAAGAACGTTAATGAATACACAGTAAATGATATGTTTTACATGTTAAATTTGTCTTAGAACTAATTATCTGGATTTACATAGAAGACCAGTAAAAATGTTGACAAAATATGAGGTGGGTGCTTACCCTCGGGGTTGCGCGAAGAAATGGAGACTCTGTATGTTTTCACAGGGGATGCTGGATGAAGAAGAAGAGCACTTTTCCTGATTCATCTATCTCCTCTGCATATACGAGCATCTCAAATTTGAGATGGTACAATTGATTCCCTCAAAAAGGAAAAATAGAAATAAACGAAAAAGAAAGCTGAGATGGCCCGATTGTATGAACTGCAGCAGCAAGCTTTAATTGGCAGCTACAAGAGAAAGTTGTCGATCATGTGAAATATCACATCTGCACCATGGGAATTTATAAGGTAGGTCTTAACCTGTAAAAGATGCAGAAAATTCTCAATCGTCATACTAAACTTTCATGCTTCTCTTACATGTGTGGATCATACAAAATTGTATCTGTGTAACTAAAATCATTAATCAGAAGAGTAGTTAAATGAAAGCAAATAAACACTCTTTTATTTTCTTAGTTTTAAATATGTGAATTCCGGTCCGTGGATATGAACACATCCGATAACAGCAACTTCCAACTCGTCGATGCAAATGAAGCTGGAAGACAAACACTCATCGATATGCACTAGTTGATTGTTGACATAAAGAATGAAAATAAGACAAGCTATGGTTACCGCATATAGTACTGAGAAGACAATTTATTGATAAATATTTTGCTCAGGAGTGACGATAACAAACCTGCATAGTACTGTGAGCAAAAAATCTTTGTGAACATTTCCGGAAACTAACATCTACTCTTTCCCAAGGAACTCTGTTCAGACCATTGATCATTACCTCTGCAAATTCCATAGCAAATAGTTAACGATACAGTTGATCTCAGAAACTGGGACATAAGATATTTGATGATAGCAATTAGCATTATGCAGAATATCTAGTGCCACGAGTTTCAAATATCTTAAAAAGTTAGTGAGTGCGCTCATAAAAAAATGATCGTGCATAACACACAAATCTATGCTGCTGCCTGCTTGTAGAGGATTTCACAACAAAATGAAGCCTTATTGTCCACAAACTTAATTCTCTGCATCAACTTCAAGCTCATATCAAATTAAATAATAACCAGCTGTTTTATATCCTTTTTAATTGCCATTATGTTCTTGAGCTGCTGCTTCAGCTGCTTTTGGATATAAATAAAGCAAACAGCAGTTTTCTCTGAGTTATATGTTCAACTAGCTAGGTATTGTTACTTGCAGCTAGATCCATCTATACTCCCAAGTAGAAAATTCCCATACTGAAATTACAATAAGAAGCTAAACATGAGAATGTGATTTTTTTTTGTCTATTTGTTTGAAGATGTACTTGTTTCTTTTCCCTGCAACATAAAATATCACCAATGGCATGTAGAACCAACTAAACCTTGTTGCCAGATTCATTGAGTGGATGCTAAAATTTTGATGTACATTCATGAGTACATTCCAATTAAAGAGAACCAAGAAGCTTGAATGGAAATGCAATTTTTATCCCTTGATAGTTTTTGTATGATTTTTTTCACATTGCTTTAAACCGTAACTACAACATTTCTTCCTAGAATTGTATATTTTCAGTTAAGATCCTTCTGAGACTGCTTGATAAAAAATGTCTTTAACTTTACATGGACTTTTACAAATATCTCTGAAGTTAAAAGGATACCACCTTATAATTGCTCATATTGTTACCAACAGGATTTATGCCATATTTTTTTGTCTTTCTTAAAAGACATTTGTGTCATATTTTCCTATCTATGTACATCAATATTTTGTTCTAGTATACTTTGAGAGCTCTAGGATATAAACCACAAAGTAGATATTTATTATTGGTGTAAATCAAGGAAGCCAGATAATTATATAATATACAATCCATTTATATGAGAAAACCCTGATATTTCAGGTCACAGTATTTAAACTAGAAAGAAATGAGAAAGTTAGTGATGAACCTTCCATCTCACTTATAGTATTCAGTTCACAAGTCGTTGACGCTGAAAAATTCATCTGTGGCACATCAGTAATTATTGGTTTCTCAACATATACAATGTGCCGATATTGACTATTTTTCATAAAATCTTGGCGCTGCAGAAAGAGAGAATGACAATGAGATATGTCCATATCACTGCTACATAATTGAATCTTAAAAATTTTACCTTGGGAAGCTCATGTTGACGACGAATTGATGATGTCTTCCGCCCAACAATAACTGAACTTGAGTTAAGTATTCTTAAAGGTAAATGCTACAAATGCACATAATGATATAAATCAAACAGGTAGTCTTAAGCCATATATATCACATTAATGAAAAACAGAATGGGATACAGTCAAAGCAAACATTCGAGTATGCAACACGACGCTTGAAAGATTGCAGAGCAGACCTGCCAACATAGACATAAAATTAAAGACTAACATGATAAAACTATTAAATATTCTGGTATTTAAAGATCTATGACAAAGCAAGGCCCACATGAATCGAAGATCTCCATAGTCATTGACCATCTGAACAAGAAGAGGAGGTTTTCCATTATCTTTGTCTTTTAGAAATAGATGTTTTCCTGTTCTTCCGAGAATCCAACAAGTATGATATGCCATTTTTTCCAATGCATAGAAGCCACGAAGAACTGGGATCTGCAAAATTCTTGTTATCAATTTTGGAAGAAAAGTGCAATAAAGATAACAATGTTTAAGCTAAGTACAGATCATCCTCCCCACAGTAAGGGAATGATACCATGTTTGGCCTAAGTGGCAATTGCACCTTGTATAAAACAGCAGAAATTAAATGTTTTGAGAAGGATTAAGAAATCTAAGTATTTTGGAAAGATAAAGAAAAGCAGAATTAGCAACATTTACTCAGTTGGCTTTTCTAAGATGATGTCTTGCAGATGATCTAGAACAAAGTAGTAGAAGCATAGTTTACATAACCATTTATTATGTGGCCATTTAAACAATATTTTCAGATGTTTTATAATTTAGCTGGTACCTATATAATATTTTCATATTGATGCACAATAGGATGTATATGTTGGTTTCAAATAATTGAACAACAAGACAACTCTTGTCCTCAAGATTTTGCAAGCCTCTGTATCTGTTATGTGATATTTCATTAATCTAACCTAAAGAATCATAAGCGTGAAATTGGTCATTCAGATCAGCTGGTCAGAAAGTGTTCTAAAAATGAAAAAAAACAACTAATTCAAGTGTCACGAACACTATATATATATATATATATATATATATATATATATATATATATATATAACAGTATAAATGTGAAAATTACCAAGTTCTTATACAGAAAGGAGAATATTTAGATGGAAGTGAAAGCCCATATAACTAGCTATCATGGATTAAAGTATTTAGATGGAGAAAGAATCTGAATATGAAACATTTTCAGATGGCAATGGTGTAATTTGACCAGCTTATTCTACTCCTACTGTAATTAAATTAAACAAATCAGGACATGAAATTGAATTGTGATCCAATAAATAGCAAGGGAAAAAGAAACCATGCTTGTGGATGTCACCTGCTTGTGCAATCTTGACCCAAGATGTGGTGTTGCAAAAGTAATAAAATTAATTGGCTCCAGTCCAGCAATTTTGCCTTTTAAATTTTTGTCCACACATGTGGTTCCAGGAGTATGGTCTTCACATTCCCCATTTTCCTCTGAACTGCGCTTCCGTATTGACTTCTCATATAGTAGACTAATAGCATATCTTGAAATCAAGCCACCAAGTGAATGACCAACAAATGAAATCTTTTGAAGACCAGGATTATTAGCAACAATCGATATAACCTGATACAAAAAACATATTAGTTAAGCAAACTAATAACATAAATGATCAAGAACCCTAATGACAAAACCCAATCGATCACATAATCTAGAAATAGATGGAATCAACCTATATCTAATTAACTTGTGTCTGGCATTAAAGATTATTTTTTTGTAATGTCTTATTATATTTAGGCAGCACAGACAGATGGTTGAAGATTAAGAAAAAGAGCAGGAACCTCATCTGCTAATCTCTCACCCATTACATCAACACCATCAAAAGTCAATGTCGAATAATTACATTCACTGCCTGCAGAAAAACAAAGTAATAAATCACAGATTATAATAGAAAGAAAGAAGGAATAAAAGAAACATTTCAGTTGTTCTTAAATTAAATAAGAAACACTTCAATTGTCCTTAAATTAAAAAAGAAACACATCAGTTATTATTAAATTACAGTTCAATTGGGAAAAAGAAGGAGATAGTGTTCTGTAGATATCGGATATCCAAAATGCAAACATAGGAAGAACCAATTTATGTAATGTTATTGAATATTTAATAGAAAAAAATGCTTACATTCTGCAGAAAACTTGATGAAAAATGAATTTGTCATCAATTCATGTTAACAGTACCAGTTTCAAATCCTATTTTTCCAATGAAATATCCATATACTTAGAAAATAATTTCATAGCTCACGAATAGGATGTTCATCATCCGAAACTAAACCTATATTCAAATTTATGCCACGTTCTCAACAGTCCTCTGGGAACTTGCATGCTTGTCTCTTAATGCATCTGAATAGTTTTTAAAAGACATTTGGTGTTCACTTATTATAGTATCTAGCTATGCATTTATAAATTAGACCATAATTCTCTTAAACATATAGGGTCCCTATATTCTTGCCAATCAGTACAAAACAAAAAGCCATCTTCACGTCACTTTAGGAACTTATACCACCCTTTCCTACTCAAATGCAAGCTACCTGAGCAATATTTTCAAGTAAACAATAAAAAAAGAAGTTTTGAGTTTCAGATTTCGATAGAGGTACTCAATTTACAAAGAATAATTGAAATTTTAAGATCGCAAAACAATCATTCGAAAATATATATCAAAGGACTTGCGTTTATCTGAGCTCTTCAAGGGTAATTCTAATTCTCCCCAACACATATTATAGAACGATCGAATAACTCACGATGCACCACAACGTCTTCAGGATGGCTTTTCACGAACTGTTTGGCAGCGTATTTCCAATTTGCAGCACTGCAGACATAAAAGAAAACATATTTCAGGAGCGAAGAATGGATCACAAGCTGCGTATCAGTCGTGTTTCTTCCGAAGTAACTCAAGCAGAAAAAGACAAAGAGATTCGATTGCATAACTAACACCAAGATCGCACAGAGAGCAGGAACTTTGTTCTGCACGCGCAGCTGAGTGGCTCAGGGTACTGCGAGCTGCCGAAGCAGCGCCCGTGATGTGCCTTAAAAATCGTGCATCCGATCAGCTACGCGTGTTTGCGTGCTTGAGGTTCGTGGGTGGGATCCGACCCTCCGGCCACCATCCCCTTAACGTGGCGTCGGCGGGACCCACATCAGGTGCCATCCAGCCTTCTGGGCCCCGGTCCGACCACCAGTGTTGTCGGTGGGTCACCTAAAAAGACCCCTCGCAAGTTGTTCGCCAGTACGAACGAAAAGAGCGAGAGACGATGAAGGCCACGATGCGTGAGACGATTGGTGGAGGCGGCGCGCGCCGAGACGTTGCAGCGCGGCCACCCCACACGCGTCTCTTCCCTCTCGTCACTCGCACTGGGAATCGAGAGGCAGCGCACAACGAAAAGATCAAAAAGAAAAAGAGAGGGAAAGCAACAAAATCGAGTTCCCGGAAAACAAAGACGAAACGAAAGAACAAATCCGGCACAACAAGATCACAGGGAAAGAAAACGATGGGATCAGCACGTCTCCATGGAAGCAGACCTCCCGATGATGCCATTCACCATCACGACCAGATGGGTGGGATCCCGCTGCTCCGCGGCGCTCCCGCTGTCCCGCACGGCCGCCGCGACGCTCCGATCGCTCCCCATCCCGGTCGGACCATCCGCAGCGGGGTTGAGGCAACTCGGCCGCCGAAGGTAGGAGGTGCACCCCCGCCACTGCCGCGTGCTGCTCCGCTTCCCGTCGTCCTCGGGCGCCGCTTCGCCTTGGGCCATCTCGAAACCTTGCCGATCTCTCTTTCCGATCGATCTGTCGGTTCGGGGTTTACGAGGGCTTTCGATGATGCGATGGCGCTCTTATATCACCCCCCGGCTCTCATCTCTGACTTCTTCTTCCTCCCCTCCGCTCCTTCTGGTAATCGTTCGTTCAAGTTTAGTTGGCGATCAAAGGGGTTAGAGACGGTGATGGCGAAAGCCCCACCTCTCACTTCCTCCCGACGTTGCCTTTGACAAATTCGCGGAATTTGAAGCGTAGCGAGGATCCCCTTTTAGTTCGATACACACAACAGCTATTTTCCCTCACAAGCCATCCACCGTTATGTGGGCCCAACCATACGGTCCCGTGGAGAAACCGGTAGTCCCTGGCTTCGCCCAGCACATTGGATCCTCACTTCTGGAAGGGGCAGCGAGTACATTGGCCAAAATCATACATTTCCGCTGTATCAACGATCCCGTGCAAGGGGTTCCGACGAATGACACGCGTCGGTGGTGCTCACTACGGCCGTCCGATCGTACCTCGGCGGAAATTACGGCCGAAAAGTTCCGTCGAAGGTCACCTTAAGGTTGCACCAGCACCCGTGAATACGGCATGGGCCCCACCCGCGTTGAGGTTTCTGCATTCGACTTTGACGAGGATACGCGTCCGAGTCGGCATGCCGTGGAGAAATGGGCAATGACGATATCACCTCTCTGACTCAAGACACAGTAGACTTTACGTAGGGTGGGCGGAAATGGACGTGTATTGGCTAAGTTCTAGAAGGATTAAGATATGATAAGGGCAAGGCGATGCCCTCAGGCTTAACTCCGTCATCAATCTTTCAGCTCATAATACCCTCATCCGTAGTAATTCCAAGCATACATGGCGGTACAGGCGGCGGTCGCCTTCTCGATCACAGTCATCTTTGCAGGCCAACCAACCTTGAATGACGAGTTCCACCTGCATTAAAATGTCACCTAAACAATCGAAACATCATCGTCGCACGCATGCCAAGCATCATTATACTAAAAGGACAAAGTTTGGATGGATCCGGTCATCCATCGTATCTGATGTCTGTGGCTGCTCAACCAAAGCACGACTCTCGTAAGCAGGTAAATAATTGCATGTCGATTTCTATGCAGAAGTCTGCACTGTGGATCAGAAGATCTCAAGGCATGTGATGGATGATCAAATTATAATCTCATACTACTACTACTGCTACAACAAGCCTATCACACATCGTCACTTGATACTCTCTACGTCGTTCGTCGTCTCCGGTGAATCGGACTCCTCTTGCCATGGGACCTCCGGCTCAGCTGTAGCAACAGCAATGGTTGGATGCACCGCCGTCGACTGGTTTCTCTCTGCTTCTCTCCAGTCTTCAGATATTGCAGTATAATTGTCCCGCACATTGATTTCATCCTTCGACGAGTCTCTCGATCTCATCCCCAATTCTTCTTGCTTATCTGATTCACCAGGTGCTGTTCTTGAGGAAGGCCTCTTCTCCAGCACTGTTCCTTCATGAACAAGGCTGGAATTAGTTGTTTCAGCTGGATCGAACAGTATATTTCCAGATTCGGATTCTTTAACTCGAACGACATGATCGACAGCACTGGAAGCATCATCAGCTTCGAAGCTTCTTTCTTGCGCCGCCTGCGCCCGTTCTTCGTGCTCTGCTTCATGGCCGCCATGGACGACCTCGCTGGAAGCGTCGTCGCCCTTAAAACTCTGTTCTTGAGCCTCGTGCGATCGCTCCTCGTGTTCTTGTTTCTCGAGTTCCTCATGCTTCACCACATGTGTTCTGCCTTCCGCAGGCAGCGAAGCCGCCTCGAACGTGTCAGGGAGGAGCCCCTCCCTGCCGAACATGGCGACCCTCTCATCATCTCCGAACCTGTCCTCATATGCCTTCCTCTGGTCGTGAGTGCACTTCATCCGGTAGAGCAGCCAGAGGCAGACGGCGACCAGAACGCCGATCTGGAGCGCGTTCTTCTCCCTGAACCCCCCGTTCACTCTATGGTTCCTACTCGACGCCTGCCTCAGCATCCTGTCTTCCTCCACTTCCAAGTCTGCTCCTCTCGATCACCCACCTGTACTAGTTCGCAGGTGCACAAGCATCCACCGAAATCATATCATGAATCATACGAAGCATCAGAAGAGAGGAAGGAGCAGAACGTACCTGAACGAGGGGTTGCCTTCCTTTCTTGTTGAGGGTTTGCCGATGGAGGAGAGGAAGAGTAAGCAGAGGCGATCTAAATGAGGGATGCCGCCGTGGTCAAAGGTTGGATGCTGCACGAATAGCATCAATCCGGCACGAACAGGTCTTCACCTAATTCCTTGGTAAGAGTTGGGAAGAGAGATCTTCCGATCCGCTTCATGAAAAAGGAGGATCTCAACCAATTAATTTGGTTTCCTTTCCTCCTCGATGAGTCCTTCCAAGAACAAGATTACAGAGAAAGATTATGTTAGGAAGTCAGCAAAATACTACCCCAAGCAAACTTGTCGGTCAGCGTTGACTTGGTGGTTGGCGACACGAGAACGTTCCGCGGACAAGAAGACGGACGAGGTCAACCCGATCCACCACGCTATCTAATACTCAAAAAAAGCCTGAGATGGGATATCGAGAAACCTTTTCTTTTTTGGTATTTACGGTCTTATTTTAAAAACTATTAATATTTTAAAAATATATTTTTATAAATATATGTAAATATTTTTTTTTTTCTTTTCTTATAACGATCGATCGATCGATGTTAAACGTAAATGCCATCTTCGTCTCATAATCATGAGCCGACGTTAAACGTAAATGTCCTCTTCGTCTCATAATCATGAGCGAAGAACGATGGCATCGAAGAGTGACAACGATATAGCTAGGAAATAAAATGATATAAGAAAAAAAATATAATTGATAATTAAGAGATTACATATAATAAAATTATATTTTATTAATTTAATAAAAGGTTGTTGATAGGATAATCGATCCATCAATTTCACAAAAAAAATATACCAAAATATCAGAACTTGCAAATTGTGCACATCATCAGATGAGGATGAATAGAATCTGAATCAATGAACAAGTTAGCAATATCTACCCATTGCTAAAATCCTCATTGCAGAAATGATATGTGACTAAAATATATACATGAACACTATGATCAGTCTCTCACCTACTTAAATCAAATTTCTTTAACACAATAATAGTTTCTTGAATTGATAGGTTCATCACAGCTGACACATTTGAAAGAAAGATCAAATTCCTTGACTTGATGTGAAATGAATCACCAATGTGGAAAAGTTATCTCAACCAGCAAAAAAGAAAACCTCTAAAGCAAGAATGAGAGTCACAAATGGCATGCAAACTTCTCTGCCATAAGGATGCATTCTTGTCCATTATACTAAACATCAAGTTCCAGCAGGGGAGAATATTTGTCTCAAAAGCTACGATCCCTCCGACCACAACAAATAGTTGGGATCTGCACAGGAAAACAATAAAAAATGTTAACAAATCTTGCTCAAACTGTGAAAACAGCAGCTAATTCTTTGCGTAGAAGTAATTTCTCAGTAAGAAGCCAGAGAGAGAATGAAGATACTAGGTTTGCCAGGCACACATCCAATTAACTATCCAGATGCCACTGGGGTTTCTCTTAGTAAAATAATAATAATTTTTTTAAGCCTGAAACCAGAAGCTACGTTAAACATAAATCAAAAGTCTTTGGATGAGAAATTGGCTTCTCCGATGACACTAAATTAGAAAAGATTATTCATCCATTAGCAGCAATTTCATGGCCTTGAATTTTTCGTTTAGAAGTGAAAGTTAACTTTCTTGGTTATGCAACTTAAGTTAATGCAATAATCGGGCAACTCCTTGTCACAACTTTCATCTAGGAAAACTACCTGGCAGATTGTAGAGAAGAAAAGGGATTTATAAAGGTCCAAAATGAAACCTTTGTCCACTTAGCTGTAGCGTAAACCTAAATGCAATCATCGTTAGTTGTCTAATAAGTTGGATATGCCGTATGACGACTCATTTAACAACCAGGAGATACAGCTATTTGTTGTAGTTTTCACAATCATTTCTGCACTTAATACATATTATCTCGGGTCTTTCTTCCTCTCTGTTGATCAACAAAACGTCAAATCTCATGCACATCCTTAGTTTTTAAGGCACCTCCTTGGCCCTCTGCTAAACATGCATGCATGGTTAGTGGCTATTTTATCCTATAGATATGCGTCTCCTGAACTTTAAATTAGACATCTCTCCTTGTTGTCAATGCTGACACAAAAGCTAAATTCCAAAATGTAATTTGGAAGAGTATCATTTTTATCTCAAATGAAGCAAGTTTTCAGGTTACATGGCCAATAAAAATGAATAAGATGAAAAAACGCAAGAAACTGGTGGACCACAAGCGGTGCTTAAGACTATTTCACATGAAGTAGCAGAAGATTATGGCACTAAGGCATACTAAATATCATAAACATAATTTATTGCCCAAGTCACTAAGGAATTCTTATTTGAGATTTTATAATAAAAACTCCACAAACCAAAGTATCAAGGATCAGGATCGGATGACACCCAAGCATATGATAACATATTTCCAAGTGAAGGAGAGAAACAATCAAATCTTAAAGCCAATTCTAATGTAACAGCCCCTGTGGTTCGGCACTAAGCACCAGCATTCTTCACCCTCAAGAAGCACAATAGTAGATTTCAGAAACAAATTCGGAAATCATTTCCGATCTCCTATTCATGTAAACAAAATGTATCCCCAGCAGCTCAACAGTTCATCAACATTTGTTATTTTCCATCAATCAATGCTTTTAATCTTGTTCCCCCAAATGCCTCACCAAAACTTATGGTGTATTTAAGACAAAAAAATTTGACAAAGGATGTATATTGCAGAGCGCTGCTCCAAATGCTTTTGAAAAGCTTAGACATCCAGAGGTCGAACATCAAATTTTTTGACAAGTTCTTTATAAGAATAGTTCCTTCCGATTTTGTAGCATTATCATATTCTAATGATAGATCAGTATGAATACTTTGGGATGGATGATGCATAAAAGAAACATTATTTCAATAGTCAAAATCAATATGCTGTAACCCTACATTATAAACACTTACAATCTCTTACCCAACAAAGAACAAGATGTTTGACAAGAAATCAGGACAAATGAACATGACTGTACTAAAAGCTGCCACCTTGTTGGAAAAAAAAACTTGTACCAAGTGAAGTGTATTTAGGATTTAAGCGAGGCCAAAATATATGGAAAAATATGCATGGAATAACAAACGACACAATCCGACCTCTTCTTGTCTTTCGGACAAGATCAAAATTGGACCAAAATGTTATAGCTACCGATAGGGAAAATACTCATCCAATCAGGACCCAACACATGGCAGCTCAGTTAGATCGACGTGGTTAAGACAGTCAACAACAATCGAGTCTCACTGTTTACTCTCGACTTCCACCGTTAGTGTTTGAGGACCATGTTGAAAATCTCGTCCGACCTTTACAACTGAGTCAGGTGGGCATCATCCCAACACAAAATAACCCTAGAATATTTCATCTATACCATGAAATATTTCTCCCAATTCGACCAATCATAAAAATCCCATCAGACTATAGTAATTGAGTCTCACTGTTTACTCTTAACTTTCACCTCGATCTGTTACTTAGTATTTGAGGGTCATGTTAGAAATCTCATCCGACCTCAGTCTTTGAGTTGGCATTAGTGTCGAAGAACCATATTCGATCTGTTACTTCGTGTTTGAGGGCCATGTTGGAAATCTCATCCGACCTCGGTCTTTGCATAAGTTGGCATTAGTGTCGAAGTACCATATCGGAAACCCCATCCGACCTCGGTCCTGACATAAGTTGGCATCAAGAACCATGTCAGAAACCTCGACCTCGGTCTTTGCATAGGCTGGCGTCCGTTCAGGTGCTCGAGACCCTCTCGGTCCAGCAAAAAGATAAATCACCTATCGGCAACTACAGTGAGAAGGCCTCTCATCATTAGTTCATGATCGAATCGATTTCCAGACTCCACAAACACTAGCCTTGGTCATTCTCTCCATTTCTAGAAGCAAGCATTACGCGAATTCAACATCTCGATGAGAGCACAAGGCCCAAAAACAAAGGAATAGAAGGGTCGCAAACAAGATCTGAGAATATCCCCACTCGAACATGTCAAAATCGCACCATATGGAGCAAATATGCGGGAAGGGGCTAAATCAGTATGGAGACAGCAAGCAATCAAGAAACCAAACCCTAATGCTAGTTTGTTCTTTCTTCGCAAAGGGAAAGAGGGAGGAAAGAGAAGTATGTGTACCATGAGCGACCCGCCGTGGATCATCCGCATGCCGACCCTATCGCACATACGAAGAAGAGACGGTTCCCCCCCTCCTCTTCGTACTCGCCCGCCCTGCTTCTTGTTGCCTGGCTCCGTCCTGTCTGCCTTCCTTCGGGGTCGAGGGGTAAGGGGCCTGCTACATTGACGAAAAAGCCCTCGTATGATCGGGGCCATCGACACCAGACTTAGGGGTAGTCTCGTCATTTTGTAAGATGAAGGGTAGGAAGGCTTTCTTCCTGGGCTTCGCCATACCACCACCAGCAACCGCAGCAGCAGCAGCAGAAGAAGGGCACTCTCGCTCTCTCCTTTCTCCGCCTCTCCTCTTCCCTGTCTTATGTTGTGTGCGCGAGAAAGAGGGTGGTAAGGTGGCCCTTTCTCGTAGCTGTGCTGGCTTTGGCCTTGTCTTCCACTGCAGCTGCCGAAGGCATTCCTTCCTTTGTCCTCATCCGTCTCTGTGACCTCCCTCTTCTCCTACGTAACTTCACATACTCACAGGCTTCAGTCACTGACAGACATGGGGGATCACTTGGAATCTTTGCCATGTTCGGAGCCAAACCAGCTTTCGTCTAACAAGACAGATGCCAATTCACAGTAGCTGACAGAAGAGGTGAAGTATGAGGTATCATCGACGCATCAGAGAGGAACAAATCAGATTCCCCAAAGATAAAAAGAGAGCGAAGATAATGAAGTCATACTTGTTTTGTGTTTGGTTGGTAGGTGGTGGTGGAAGCATGATATAGAAAGGAGATGGATGAGGCGATCACACAGATTGACATGGTACACCTACAACACTGTTCTTCCTGCAACGAGATGGCGACCTGCCCTGTCGTGACGCCAGGGGCGTGAACATCGCGCACAACAGAGCACGCGAGGGGCGGAGCGGAGGGACCAGGCGCGCTGTTGGATCTTGCGATCATGGGCGAACGCCTCGTTGGAGTGTCGGGGAAGCAACGCCGCCCGGTGGCTTCCGCTGCTCCTCCCTCCCTCTTCTCTGTGGCTGCTTGTGCGTGTGATCGCGACACGAGTGTCGTCTCTCTCTCGAGTCTTTACTCCTGTCGATTTATCTCTTGTCTTCTCCCCTAATCAATCTACCCTCCTCTCTTACAGTCGTCAAACCTCAAGGGGCGACAAAGCCCGTGGAATCTCATGCCGGCCGGCAGCTGCCAACAACCTGTGGTGCAGGAGCCACCTTCTTATCCACCACAGCAGTGCTCCTCATGCTCACTGTCTCACAGATAACACAGCTCAGCGATCCAGAAAATGTGGACGATGAGGCCTTCGTGTCCATTCTTTCTGGCCTTTGGGCTCGACTTCACCACTGGCACGCCAAACAGAGCTACGGCGAGGTTCTTCAGAGCCCATCTCGTTTGGTGTGCCAAAGGCCGGACATTATTCGATTCCCATTATTTCTCATTACAGATCATCATATGATCCAAGGCGCATCAAACAAGTACTGATCACTGACACAGAGGAAACAGGAAGGCCTCTGTCTTTCATGAAGAAGATAAATGAGATCAGGACATTCTTTCTGTCCCTGTAAAGTAGATTGATCTAAAGGCTCAAGTTGCTCCCTTGTAACAAGACAAACAACTTCACAAGACATTGCCATCACCATGAACAGGTTTGAAGTGATAAGGTTCGTCGATCACCCTTCGACAGCTTTCCGATCCAAGTGCCGGCATTTCAAATACTGAGGAGATCCGGTGGTGGTGAGTTTTCTGCAGCCCGCTGCTGCTGTTCCTTCACTTCCTTGATGGGTGCGTCACAGCCATGTCCTTTTGGTCGATCCATTAGTATCTGAACAACCTCCCTCATCGTCGGGCGTTCCACGCTCTGTTCCTCGACGCACAGCATGGCGACGTAGAAGACATGCATGGCTTCGTCCAGGGGAACTGTGGGCAGCCTGCGATCCAGAATCTGAAGTACTCCTTCCTTCTTGGAGTCTGTCGTCTCCCGAACCCACTGAACGATGTCGACGCCATCGCCTAACTCGCCCACCGGCTTCTTTCCGGTCACCAGCTCGAGAAGCACCACGCCGAAGCTGTACACATCACTCTTCTCGTCTACCTTCAACGTGTATGCATACTCTGCGGAATCAATTTGGAGAAACAGTCCAATTACCGAAAGAAGGGTTTCTGCACGAAGAACAGAGTTCGGCGTCGACGAAGTACCTGGAGCAATGTAGCCGTAGGAGCCGGCGACGGCGGACATGCACTCGGACGTGCCAGAGTCTTGCAAGAACTTGGCGAGCCCGAAATCCGCGACATGGGCTTCGAAATCTGAATCGAGAAGGATGTTGTTGGACTTCACGTCGCGGTGCAGGATCGGCGGCGAACAGTCATGGTGGAGATAGCAGAGTCCCCTTGCAGCCTCGACGGCGATCTTGTACCGGGTGTCCCAAAGCAGATGGCCGCCCTTCTTCCCGTGAAGGACCTCGCCAAGGCTCCCGTTGGGCATGTACTCGTAGACCAAGAGATTGGTCTCGTGGTTGGAGCAGAAACCCAGAAGCCTAACAACGTGACGATGCCGAATCCTCCCGAGGGTCTGTATCTCGGCCGAGAAGCCATGGTCATGCGGCGAGCCCCGACTCATCGCCGGGAGCCGCTTCACCGCAAGCTGTTCGCCATTGGGCATGACACCTTTGTACACGACGCCTGCGCCGCCTTTTCCGATGACGTTCTCCTCCTTCAGGCAGTCGAGCACATCGTGACAGGTGAAGTCGAGACGCTGGAAAGCCGTGAGCTTCCACGCTCGGGCCTCGCTTGCCTTCTTCAGTAACACAGCTTTGATGATGGCGGAAATGGCGAAGGCAATGGAACAGATGAGGAGACCAGCAACCACTAGCACCTTGAAGGAGGACGAGAGCGATCCCCATGCAAGAGGGGAGCCGGTACCCTTAATCGCGGAGCTGCAGGGACCGAGGTACGGACCGCAGAGACCGGGATTGCCGACGAACGAGCTCACATTGAAGTAACTGAACTGGCCGGTGCCGGAGACAAGGCCGGAGAGGTTATTATATGAGAAATCGACCGCCGTGAGGCTCTGGATCGTGGCGAGTGATTGCGGAATGCTCCCTTCGAGGTGATTCCTAGACAAGTTGAGGTAGTTCAAGATCCTCATTCCGGCAATATCTGGTGGGATCTCGCCGGATATCTCGTTCCGGCTGAGGTCCACGAAAGCTAGGAGCTTGCACCGGCTTATCTCCGGCGCTATCGGGCCAGAAAACCGGTTCCCGCTTAAATCCAGCTTGCAGAGCTCCTGCAGCCTCCCAGTTTCCGGCGGGATACGGCCCGAGAACTGGTTCTGGTTCAAGAGGAGTTTCTGGACGCCGGAGTACTTGCCGATGGACCGCGGGAGTGGTCCTGAGAGCCGGTTGTTGGAGAGGTTAATCAGGCCGAGGTCCGGAGAGATGGCGGCGTTGCCGGTGTCCGGGAACCCGCCGGTGAGGAGATTGTCTTCGAGCTCGATCTGCGAGAGCTTGGGCAAGCTGAAGAGAGCATCAGGGATCGATGCATTGAGGTAGTTTTGCCCCATACGGATCCGACCGAGTGATTCGCACCGGCCAAGGGTCTCTGGTATTGGGCCGAAGAGGAAGTTCCGTAGCACAATGAGAGTTTGCAGCCTGTTGCCAGAGCACAGGTCCGGCGGTAGGTTCCCCGTGAGCTTGTTCGACGATACATCGAGGAGCTGGAGCCGAGCGCTCTCCCCGAGTCGTTGCGGGATCCCACCGGTGAAATTGTTCTCCCAGAGCTGCAGCACCTCCAGCGCCGGCAGGTCGCCGACGCACTCCGGGATCGACCCTTGGAGTTTGTTGCGGAACAGGTTGAGCAGAGTCAGGTTCTGGAGGTCGGCGAAGGTGGAGGGAATCTCGCCGGTGAGGGCATTGTTGGAGATATCCATGGACTTGAGGCTGCGCAAGCGGCCGAGCGCCGATGGTATATCACCGGCCAGACCATTCACCTGGAGGAACAGAGTGTCGAGATTCTGGAGGTTCCCGAGCTCGGGCGGGATCGCGCCGCTGAGGCCGCAGTTGGCCATGTCCAGACGGACGAGCGCCGCGAGTCTGCCTATCTCGGGTGGGATGCCGCCCACGAAGCTGTTGAAATAGCCAACATACAGCTGTCGAAGGCGGGTGAGGTTGCCGAGCTCTGGCGGGATGGGGCCGCCGAGATCGTTGCCGGAGACGGCGAGGTACTCGAGGAACTCCCAGCCGCCGAACTCCGGGGGAATGACGCCGGTGAAGAAGTTGCCGCCGAGATGGAGGTGGCGGAGGTTAGGTAGCTCGGCGACCTCGGCGGGGAGGGGGCCGGTGAGGTTGTTGTTGTAGAGGTCGAGGACGAGGAGGTTCTTCAGGTGGGCGAGGGCGGAGGGAAAGGAGCCGTTGAGGAGGTTGTCGGAGAGGTTAAGGTGGCGGAGGTCGGCGAGGCGGGAAAGGTCAGCGGGGATGGGGCCGGAGAGGGAGTTGGAAGCGACGGAGAGGTTGAGGAGGTGACGAAGACGGCCGACGGCAGGGGAAAGCGTGCCGGAAAGGTTGAGTCCGGAGAGGTCGAGGGAGACGACGGAGCCCCGAAGCGGGTCACAGGCGACTCCCGGCCAGGAGCAGTGGTCGACGCCGTCGGAGGAGTTCCAGGCTGAGAGGGCCGCGGACGGGTCTGATACAGCAGCTTTGAGTTCGAGGAGAGCCTCGACCTCCGTCGCGTCCTCCGCCACCTTGGCTAGTTTCCCGGGAGCAAGGATGACGAGGAGCAAGAGTAGGAAGTGACGGCAAAGTGACGCCATTACTTTCTCACTAACGCTCGCTTATGTAATAGTATTACTAGCGAGCTCTGAGTTGAGCTCCGACGAGGACTGCAGAGTGTCGGGTGAAGGGCGTGGGTTTTAGACTCAGTCTTTTGTGGGCTTTGCTTCGATCTCTGTTAACGTTTATATTGTTGGAAGAGGGAAAAGGTAGAAGAAGAAGAAGAAGAAGAAGAAGAAGAAGAAGCGCTGTTGTTGGAACTTTCGAATGTTACCGATGGAGGGAATGGTAACTGTGCGGTAGGTTTGGGGTGGTAGTGATGGAACCAAAAGGCAATGGATGCTACACCTAACTGGCTTTCTGCATGCATGCAAGAGAACAGAGACATACGCATGAGATCCAAATAGTGTCTGGGCCTGAGAGGGGATCAATCATTCGGTGCCTTCCTTGTTGCACTACAGACTGCTCCATGTTCACCTTCACATCTCCATTAATGATGTCTTGCAGCTACTGCTAATAATTACAGAGCTCTTCTTCCATCTTCCACGGTGAACCTAACCTCCATCTCCATGGACTGCCGCTGCCACACTGTTCTATTGAGCTAGACTTCGCACTGCTACTGCACCGTCATCTCGCAATGGCTCCTCACGGTCTCGCTCTCACGAGTCGTCGCCTTCGAGAACAGTTCATCGATCCCCACAAATAATATAGCTGTGTGCTTGCATTACTAGTACAAGATGAGCTCAGGACTCCACCCAGCTGGCGGTCCCCCGTCTCCGGCAGCTGGCGCCGTGTCCTTCCTTCCGTTTGATTCCCTTCTCATCCCTTCCGAGCCAACAGAAATCCTTCTCATCCTCCATCTCTCTCATTCCAGGCAATTCAGTTCATTAACGTGATCTCCAAGGAAGCATACAACACTGTCGGATGACTGTAATGAGACAAGGGTGAAGATGGTGAGGTTGCTCGCCATCACACGCCATCGATCTCTACTGGTTCTGACCCAGACTTGTTTCACTGAATGCAGTGGCTCTGTGAGAATCCGATGAGCTCTGCGGTACAACTTCATGTCCTCTAGCTGAGGTTGCACAGTGCCCATCTTCTCCATCTTGCTAACTCCACAGATGCTTGCTCGGTCTAAATCTGGTCATGTCCTGCTGTCCACCTACCGCATTAAAACGGTGTATGTCCGGATGGCCAAGTCTTGGGATGCTTACAGAGGAAGAGACATCCACACCCAAGCATCAAAGTTAAACGATCAAATGATATGAGAATTCATTAGCCACCATATATGTAGGTACTTTTATTGTGCAGTTGTACAGCAACAACTCTCCTGTTTCTTACACACAGGAAAGGGGAGGCAAGTAGGGTTCGACAACCTAAGAAACAGAGGAGTTGCTACCGCACCGAAGCTCTCGGAAACAAGGAAGATCGCACAGGATGCCAACGAGTAGGTTTGGGAAGTCAAACCTCGTCAAGAGAAAGGTGAGCTCTTTGAGCAAACTCCACACAAGAAGCCTTCAGAAAGGTTAAGCGAAGACCACATGAACATAACCGTGCTAGTCTTCTTCTCCGACGTAGTATGTAGCGAAGACGAAGAGAAAGCTTGAAGCCCGGGCATGATGGTCTTTGAGATGCGTGGGGAATAAGTCCTTTCGATTAGGAGCGAGAGCAGTACAAGGACAGAGAGTCTTCATGTAAGCTATCTGAAAGCAGAACTCAGCTTCTTCACGACGTCCGTCGCGTTCATGTCGAACCCCTCTTCGATCTGTTAACCAACCATTCCCAAAGCAGATTTATGAGACCAACAACAAGGATCCCTCTTCCATCTACAGAGTCGCATCTTACCTGAGCCATCACAGTCATATCGAGAGAATAGGTGCCGAAAGGCATGACGCTTGCGCTGACGACAGAGAGGTGCAGCTGCTCGATCTCGGAGAGTGCCTTCACCAGTACTCCTTTGCGGTTCTCGCAGTGAATCTTGACGAGGATGGCCTTCTCGGAAATCTTGGCTTCGATCTCCGGGAGGGAATCACCGCACTGCCGCACTTCAAAGTTCTCATCGCAGGAGGAGCTGTCATCGTCGGCACGGAGCTGAGATTTCTTGACGAGAACTGCAGACTCGACAGTCCTCTTTGCCGCCTGCTCTTCGAGGACCTTCACCTTCTCTTCGAGTTGCTTCAGATACTTGATAGCATCACCAAGAACAGAAGCCTTGTCCGTCTACGAGAGGAGGCAGAAAGTTAGAGGAACGATCCTTGCCATCTTGGATCATCGAGCGGCTTCGATCGAGAACAGACCTTCTTGAGGCCAGGCACGATGGCCGATAGAGCTATAAATCTCTGGTTGAGCTTCTCCCTTCGCTTCCTCTCAGCCATGATGTGATCCTTGTTGTGATAAGTCGTTCCCTGCCCGACCATTGCGTCATAGTTCCTCTTGGATCCATGGTGGAGGAGAACGTCCATCTCCTTCTTTCGCTTCACCACACCACCGAGACAACCGTAGATGTTGTTCCGGTCAGTGGGTGACTCCGGATTGCCGAAGGAAAGGATGCTGGGAGAGGAGGCAGTAGGGACCAGAGCAGAGTTCTGCTGCTCGGTGGTGCAAGAGCTCCAGCTACGAGTCTTGAGAGCTCCCCTTGGTCTTCCGGTGCTCGCCGGTGGTTGATCCGAAGGGAATGAGTCGTAGCTTTCCGAGGAGATGGATTGCTGGAGGTCTTGCCCAAGCGCCGCCTCGACTTCTTGCGCCGTGAGCTCATCCATCACCTCCCACTGACCAAAGAAACTTCCATCCATTCCCTGTCGGTAATGGAAGAAAGATCAAATTATTCATGAATCATCTACGAATTCTCTTTCGTTAGAACTTTGTGTCGAGATGAAATCGTTCAGAGTTCTTGAGTTTGATCTCCTCACCACATCAGAATACCATCCCGCAGCTTGTGGTTCCATGACAGAAACCTGAATCAAGAATCAATGCACAGTGAGGTGCAAACTCATGCTAAATCATTGCTTTCTGAAACAAAACCTTGGAAGAATGAGAGAAAACAAGGCAGAAAAAAATATCTGAAAAGGAAAATAGTGTCCAATTATTACATAATTATATGATCTGAAATTGCTTCAGAGATGAAACATTTGATAAGTCGAGGAAAAGCTCTAAATGAAAATTTTTTAGGCTTGAAATCATATAAAAATTTGAAGAGTTTGATATGCACTAACAACAACATTAAAGCTTGGTGATCAATGCAAGACAACCAAAGGATAGCTGAGGAACCAATGACTTCATGAGACAGAGAGAAGAAGACCAGCCTGCATCAGAAGGTTAAGGTCCTCCTTTCTCTTCCTTTGAAGCAGAGGCCAACTGAGCTTCTTACATATACTATCTTTGCATCAAGAACTTGGAGCTTTTTGTGCCTCTTATAAGGCTGGAAAACTCTTCCTCCATGTTCTTTCTGCCTTCTCTTTACTGTTTCTCTATCTCTTTATTGATAATTACAAGGCCTGGAGGCCTCCACGAGGATGCCAACAACAGATCCTTTCTGGGGTGGATCATCAAACCATTCCAGCGGTGGATTTGTGGATCCATTCAGCAATAAAAAACAGAATACATATGTTTCATTGTGGACCAACCAAAAAATATTTAGAGTGGAAGGATGATTAGTAGAATCATAGTAAGATTCTGTCACTGGAGCACATTGAGGGGTGATTACAATTTTACTGGGCAAGGAAAGGATCTGTGACTCTTGGGAAACAGTTCCCAAAGCTAAAATCCAGAAGAACACTGTAGCATCAGATTGCATTTTTTGTCATATCTTGCACTGAAACGTATGTCAGTCTCCTAATATGACCAGAATAATCCACATTTCCATTTATTTTGTTCTGGGAAATGGTGCAGACTGTTCTTGTTTCAGTTTTGTTTGCCATATTCTCAGGATCTTCTGTCATGATATTATAGATCTCTGTGACACTGAGACAGCTTCTGACTCCAGCAAGTGAACAGTCAAAGAAATAAATGGTGATACGGAATATCCCTTTTGTGGGATGTGAACTGTGCCTTGGAGCCATGGCTGTGACCTCCGATTCACCCACTTAGCATCCCAGTGGACTGTTCTTCTTCACAGGTGCAACTGTTCTTGTCTTCTACATTGGACTGTTCTTCACAGGTGCAACTGTTGTTGTCTTCTATATTTTTACTTGCCATCATGTGCTCCTGCAAGCATGACAAGCTGAACATACAAGTGGGAGTTACATCAATCATCTAATATTGTGAACATACTCTTTAGAAAAGTTACTTTTATGTCTGAAGTAAAGAAACAAATCATTTTCACTTGATGACTGATAGTTTCTGTGTAACAAAAGTCTTTTCTGAGAGAAGCTTTATGCTCTATTTTTTCTGAGCAAGAAGCTGAGGTATTTCTTATCCTCCTCAAGGAATCAATGAGCCATGCATATGGTGAACTCAGTTGGAGAATGTAGTCATTGGACTTCTAAGATGAAGTCATCAGATGGAAATAAATAATTATCTATGGAATACATGGAAGGATTAGTGACTCAAAATGGATAGATGACTGGCCAACTGCATGTTCCCAGTGGCCAACATACCACATCATTGACTAATAACACTAAGCAATCATCTAAACCAAATGTCAACCTACATCATTGACTAATAACGTTACTTGCACTTGGTTCTTCAGGAGCCAAGCATGCATGATGAAATCTCGAAGTTAAGGATTTCATGCCAACTTAAAGCAATACATGAGACAATTTTCCAATGTTTATATTTCGATGACGAAGCTACGTAGGCTTCAAATAGTAAGTGTAATATTGATATGACGAATAAGAAATGATCTACTACTAAATATAATATATAATTCGAGTAAAAAGAAGCTACCTACGTGTAACGTTAAAGACACGTCACAAATTAGAGTTGTCATAAAGTTGGGCTTAGTAAGTATATTTTCATTAAAATGTTTAATAAGCTTAAAGATCTTGAATCAGTTATCCTTTTACAGATTGTGAAGATATGAATTAGTAAGTAGTCTTTTTGTTTTTGGATATTAATTTTCATCTAATTCATTTAATTTGGATTATGATATTTATTAATCAAGTATTCAGATAAGAAACATTATAGATTAATATGAATTAAAGTCAATTCAGATTCAATATGATTTTTTTTTCAAGCCGATCTATAGGAAAACATATCAAGTTGGACTCTCGGCTTTGCCAAACTAAGTCGGTAGACGATCCCAACAACGCATCTCTAATGTTCAAGTCAGTAATAATTTTAGACGAGCCAAGCTCATTGGACAGCTTGGATTTGTCTGACGGACTTGTTATTACTTTTTTTGTGTCCTTATGCTTAAACGACCCCTTTTATGATAGAGCCTTGGGGGTTGTTACATCAACTGTTCAAGATGGTTACGCTTATTGATTATAACTATTTATAATAAACACTAAATTTATCAGTTAGACATGCTATTAATAGAAATTTGTGCTTCGATATATGTCAATCAATGGTGCATCCACATAGAGATAAAAATCATTACTAGGATTCAACCAATGCACATGTAGAGCATGCCCCCCTATCAATGAGCAGGAGAATCTTAGCAACTAAGCACTCCATCCTAACCAAGTGCAGTGGTACGATAAGGTCAAGCGACTAGGCACAGTGGCACACGAAGGACCATAGGATTGAATGCGATAGTACGATAGGGTTAGGTGACTAAGCGTGATAACACATGAAGGGCTGCAAGGCCGAGTGCAGTGGCGCATGTTACCAGTGTCATCTTCATACAACGACATGGGGGTTTAGCCAATGCACGTGTAGAGCATACCACCCTATCAATGAGTGGGAGAATATGAGCAGATCTAGATGTAGCTACATATGTCATACCCGCCTACAACAAAGAGGAGTCATGGCTAAATGACCTATTGATGAGTGGCCAATCAATTTGAATTGGTCTAATCGGAAGTTTTTCAATGCCACCACAAGGTTACATGGGATGAAAATATGATAGTTTAAAAGACTATTCCTAACTTTGTCCGAGTCTATCGATATCTTATAGATGAGTGAACAGTGACTCGTCGGCGTAGGCCAAAGCCCAACTCCTCGAGGTAAGGAAGTAGAATTGTTTTTACCTAAGAGCCTATTTGAACTACTTATCACATAATCTCTCTTTTCTCCTCTTTTTGTTTCAATATACAAACATGGGCCTCTAAAGGAGCATCTTTGAATACAATGCTTACTGACAAGGTGGGCGAATGAAAAGTGTCATCTCCTGACTCAGGTCGGCCTAGGTTCTTCAAGAAGAAGAGGCCAATAAGAAGCACTTTTCATTTGCCTACTGGTCATAAGCACCCAAGGGGGTCTAGTGGACCCCACACTGGTCAAAAGCACCCCCTATGTCTCCACCTCCTTATAATAAAAAAAGGTGTCACAAGGAGGTACCCTCGTCAATGGGCCCTCCAAGGAGATCCAACTCTCCTTATCTGAGGGAGAGGTCAAAAGAAGAGTGGGCCAAGACCCTTGGCCCCAAGGCATCACAGCAACAGTAGCTAAAACACCGTTCCCTGTCACTCTAATACTTCTAGGATGGGACTATCGGTTGTCACATATGGCTCACTACCTTCATCTATAGTAGAGATTCTGCCTAGTTAGTGAAGATCTTATCATTGCAAATCAATGACAAGATGGTCAACAAGTGGCAAAAAGATCTACTTCTCAAGCTGAAACTTTATTAGTTCTAATCGACCATGAGAGATTTTAAATAAAGATCTTCGGGGTTTGCTTAAGATGATCGTATGAGAATTTTCTTGAGCCATAACAGTCAATCCTCCTTCTAGCGCCAAAATATTAAAGTCAATTATGAGTTGCCCAAGATAGAAGTTAACTCAAATCCAACTTGATTTCTTTTCAAGCCAATCTTTGAGAAAATATGTCAAACTAGATTTCCAACCCTACAAAACTAAGTTGGGAGATGATTCTGATTCTTAGTAATAATTTTAGATGAACCAAGCTAGTCGGACTTGTCAAACTAATATGGTAGATTTGTTATTATCTGTTTTGTCTCTTGGCATACCTAGACGATCCTTTTTACGATAGAGCCTCGAGGGCCATTACACAATCTGTTAATTTGTTTACGATGATTATGTCTGTAACTACTTATAACATATACTATATTATTTATTAGGTAGTCATATTGTTTATAGAAATTCATGCTTCTACATATGTCAATCGATAATACCTCGATCCACATAGATATAAGATTATTATCTAATAGTATATGATACTGACAACTACTTGATGATGACACATCAGCTACACATACACATGATGTTAATCATGTCTACATCACATCCGATACAATATAAACATATTTTTCGAGCATGATAAATCTATGATTAAAACAGCAAAGCAAATCCTATTTCTTAGAAATAAGATCAACATCATACAAAAGAAACTAAAAAAAATGATTGATCCATGCAAACATGTCTTCACCTGTCCAATTTAGTTCTCCAAAAGGCCGATCTGAGATCCCCAAAAATTGAGAGGTTTCTCGTTTAATAACCACGTAACGATGATAGCAATCAAAGCACTAAAAAAAAATGATTGATCCACGCAAACTGGTCTTCACCTGTCCAATTTAGTTCTCCAAAAGGTCGATCTGAGATCCCCAAAAATTGAGAGGTTTCTCGTTTAATAACCACGTAACGATGATAGCAATCAAAGCACAAGTCGCGTTATTATAAGCTGAGCTGATGATTACATAGTTAATCATTTGTTTGTTAAGTCACATTTTTCCATAAGATGAATACATATATTGTTGGTGTAAACAACTTTGAGCCGTGGTCTCGAGGTCGACGAGGCTCGGTTCGGGTCCGGATGACGGGGATCTCCCTAGGACGTACTTCGAGACTGCTGAGGCAACCGATTACGGTGGTCCGATCGGGACGGGGTCGCCATTTCCTCCGGGCAAGAACTCCTCGCCTGCGCGTCCGGTGGGAACCTTCAGCTTCGCACCTACACAAAGACCCTCTGACGATCAAGTCAGTGGATGGTAAAGGGGTTTGTTGGTTAAGTTGTCTCCTCCTCTCTCGACGATCAAGTCAGATGAAGTGAAGAGGACTTTTTTACGTGTGTTCCCTCCTTTCTTTCCGTTCAAAATGCGATGGTATTTATATGGAAGCTTACTGTTTTCTGATGTGCCCGCTTGCAGGAGGCAGGCTGGTAGCGTCTGGCACTGGTGTTGGTGTAGTGTAAAGGACCGAGCCTGAGTAGGACGTTAATATGCCTCGGCCGACGTTCTGGTCCATTTGACCAGGTGTTGTCGAGTCGATCGAGGCGTGAGGCGTCATCTGGGGCAGCTGACCTCAGCCCGAGTCTTGTTGCCGTTATTATCCTCATCATATATATATATATATATATATATATAAAAGATAGAATATGTATTAACATATATAATTCCAGCCTTCAAATCTAATATTAGCCAATAGGTGATGCCGCTGTTGTGGGGGTCCACCTGCAGCCATCGCGTCCCACTCGCCGCCGCACCTTTTGGTTCGCATTCAATTGGGTAACAAAGAAGCAGAGCGGCAGCAGCAGCGGCGATCTCTCTCTTTCCCTTCGGAACCCTACCGTCGGGAGGGGATCGGTTGACCATGGCGATATTGGAGCGGCGGGAGCTGGGGAACACCGGCCTCAAGCTCAGTTGCCTCGGCTTCGGCGCCTCCCCCCTCGGTAACGTCTTCGGCCACGTCTCCCACGCTGACGCCCTCGCCGCCGTCCGCCTTGCCCTCCAACTCGGCATCAACTTCTTCGACACCTCCCCGTTCGCCTCTCTTTCTCTCACTTTGTATACTATTGGAAGGTGCCGCCTTTCTCTTATCCTTGCCCAATCTCTTCCTTTCTGTTAGGTATTATGGGGGTACGGTCTCGGAGAGTGTGCTCGGGAACTGCCTCCGTGAATTGAACGTGCCCAGGGAAGATATCGTCGTATCCACCAAGTGCGGCCGCTACATCGATGGCTTCGATTTCAGCGCGGAGAGGGTGACCAGGAGCATCGACGAGAGCCTCGCCAGGTTGAAGTTGGATTACGTCGATATCCTCCATTGCCATGACATCGAGTTTGGATCCCTCGACCAGGTCTTGTTCTATTTACCTTGGATTTTTTTTCTCTGTTGATGGGCTAAAGGGCTCGACTTTACTCCATTAATTCATTAGCTATACTATCTCTGTGTTGCCAAGTTACTCGATTTGTGTCTTTCGTCCACATTCTGAGTTGAGGGCCGGATTTTATTCTTAGGATCCATGCCTTGCCGTCGCATTTGTTCATTTGCAACCAGAACTGTGCCTTAATTGTTGGTTCTTATTTCGTAGATGTTTGATGCTGAAATCGTGAATGGTTTGGTTTAATTGACAGATTGTGAATGAGACCATTCCTGCATTGCAAAAGATAAAAGCGGCAGGAAAGGCTAGATTTATCGGAATAACCGGTCTGCCTTTGGGGATTTTCACTTATGTTCTCGATCGCGTACCACCAGGTTCAGTTGATGTTATTCTTTCATATTGTCATTACAGTATAAATGATTCAGCCCTGCTAGATTTGCTACCGTATTTGAAAAGCAAGGGTGTTGGAGTGATCAGTGCCTCGCCACTTGCAATGGGCCTTCTCACAGATAATGGTCCACCAGAGTGGCATCCTGCATCATCAGAACTCAAGGTGTGCTTTCTCCTGTGGTTTTCTTGTTTCTATTGGTTTTCTGTATGTTGTAAGTGGTGGTCTGAAGTCTAGCAAGCTAAGTATCTTATAATACAATTCAGTGTGGTAGGAACATCATAATCTTTGATCTTTTAGTGATGAGTATAGTAGCACCTTCTTGTAGACCAGTTTAACCGTAACAATTTCTTGTGGACCAATTCAACTGTAGTGCTTTCTTCTAAACCAATTTTTACCACAGTGCTATCTTGCAAACCAATTTAACCGAATCGACAATAATTTAGTGTGGAAGGATGTTGCGTTTTGCTAGCATTCTCTGCAAATTATCTTAAAGCAGAGGTGTCCGGAACCAGTATTTTAAGTCGCCTGAAATGGGCGTGGTTCGTTTCCATTCAGCAATCCAGTAAGTACCAACCAAACCACTAATGAACTGACCGGTTTTGTGTTCTATGGTTGAAAGTCAATGTCTAATTAGACATTCAGAAAATCCTACTTATGGCACTGCAATCCATAAGATTCAGAATAATAAGATTTCCAATGATTCATCGTTACCTGTTACGACAGATTCAGGTCGTCCAATATGGAAGATGATTTGGAGCCCTTCTCGAGAATGTTGCAAGCTGATTAGGGATGAGATCACATATACCTTGTACCGAGACCCTGCAAGACTATGTCGGGGGCATACCCAACAAAGCCCCTCTAATGCTTAAGTTAGCAATAGGATTCGGAAGATTCATTTAATATTGAATCTAAAGAGGGATTGAATAGATCAGAGATTATAACCTAGGAGTTAATATTAATAGAACTTATGACCGTGAGAATGTCCACGAGAACCAGAGTTGGAGATTCGAGGTGGCGACCTTAGTTATCCAGACATTACTGTGTGTTTAATTGTGCATCAAATTCGAACATCTCGAGGTCATTTAATGATTCCTTTATCGATTCAAGCGCCCTCTTTTAATATGGTACATTAGCCGTGTATTGTTGAAGTATTAGTCATTTGTTGCTAAGATGTTGACGGTCTACCAAGTGTCATTTTCTCATATCAATATCCAACTTTTGTGTGAAGATTTGAATCAGTGGGCAATTCTTTTTCTAGACGGTATAGACATTCTAGTTTTTGTATTTAATATTGGAGAAAGATATTGAGCTTTTTATTGAGTTCTATATTTGCAATTAATGATTGTTGTGCTTACCAACATAGGTTGGCATGAGCTTTTTTGAGCCTCATAACAATTTTTTGCATTTTTAGTCTGCCTGCAGAGCTGCAGTTGCTCATTGTAAGAAAAAGGGGAAGAACATTTCTAAGATAGCTCTACAGTACAGCTTGATGAATAAGGAAATTTCTACTGTGCTGGTTGGTATGAACTCTCCCAAGCAGGTACCGCATTCTTCTTTGCATTTTCTGCTATATCATTAGTAGTCAAGGATGAGTTTGGATTCATGGGCAAGCTAATAGAATAACATGCCTACCATTGATCATAAGAACCATGAGACCGTTTGTGAATGACTAATACTGGATCAGATAATGGCTTTTGGTTACATAAAATTTGGATTGGATGATTGACAAAACTTTAACAATTCAAGCAAGGGGGACAACAAAACTTAAACCCACAAGTAAATGCAATTAAAGCCCCACATAATCTGAGCTAATGGTGGCGGCAATGTCGTGTTGCTATTGTGCAAGGAGAAGAGGTACTTCATGGGCAAATGAGGATATATCCTTCGTCCAAAGGGGTTGAAAGTTTCAGGCTTGTCCTTTGAAATCTCCATAATCTTATCCTAATTTGAGCATTTTGTGTGGAAAATAAGTGATTGATTAAGGGTATGTGCAAGATCTGCTGCTGCCGGTATGAAAGTCCTAGAACAGTCGATTTGATAAGAGGTGGAAAGTTCAAATTGATGTGACTTCCAGTATCCGGGAACACACATTCAATTTAAAAGGCTAATATATGGTGGTGCACCAAGTCCAGGTGGATCCTTGAGATCTAAAGCAAACTTGGATATTAAGATATGCCAAGAGATGGACACCAAACGATGATGTTTTTTCTTGTATTGCCTGTTGTATGGCTGCATGAGAATTCCTCATGGATTGACTACATTTATTTTTGTAGGTCGAGGAAAATGTTGCTGCTGCACTAGAATTATCGAGTTTGGGAATCGACGAGGATCTTCTACATGAGGTTGAAGCTATTTTAGAGCCTGTCAAAACCCAGACATGGCCAAGCGGCATCCAGCAAGGTTAAACCCTCGATGAAAAGGTCATGATAGAAGGGGAAAACGTCGAGTTCCCAAAAAGCATTTATAAGAATAAAATTGATTCTAATCGACTTTGTTTTCTGAATGTCTGACAATAAAAACAAAGAAACGACCCATAAAGTTGTAATATTTGATGATAATGTTTTTATTAGTTACTCTGTTGAACACTAAGACCAACTCCTCCTTGGAGGATCAGTAACTGATTCTTTTGAATATAGGATAACTCTCTGATTAGCAAATTTTGATTAATAATGAGCTTTGGTATGGTGTGTTTTACGAGCCTAAGGTTTTCATCTCCGAGAAGAGATTTTTCGCTTGAAATAAGTTAATTTTCTCTTTTGAAAGAAAATGCTATGGCCCGATAGGAATTTAATGAAATGTTACAATTACACATTCACAAGAACCATCTTATTGCCAAGGAAAAGGAAATCGATAGGAAAATTATTGTTTGTTTACCTGTGAAATATCAGAAATAAATGAAACCATGTGATGAAACAGATTTTGATTGAATAATATTCATGAAACAAAAAGATATTTCAAGGAGGTTTCTGGGAATACAGTAGTAGCAAAGCACAACCTTATGGTACAGTGAACTTTACATGAGAAATCACTCGTTAATGTAGATGAACAAATGACCCATCTTGGAAGGTGTAGATTCTGCCGTGCGAGGCACAGAAATAGCTGCATCCTTACGTTGACACTCAATAAACCATACAATTTTAATGTTGCTTTACCAATAATACATAAAGCCAGCAAGACTATCTTTTGTTAATTTACATTTGCACATTCAATAACATCAACAATGTCCACTGAGAATGGGTTGCGATGAGCTTCTTCTCCCCTATTACAAGAAACACTGGATCTGTTTAATTCATTGCTAGACTTTCCATGGAACCTATCGTACAGAGTACAGACTCGCACACCAGTCATATATGTGCCGTCTGCTCGTCAAGCAAGCCCAGCCTTTGGCATCAAGCAATTGTAGAAACTAATCAGATAGGACTCGTCGGACGACAAGGAAGGCAAAAAGAAAGCAGCTACCTCTAAGCAATTTGAGCTTCTTGGAGTGAGGGCCAAGCTACTTCATCATCATTAATGTATCCATGAATAAAGAAATCCGTGCAGTTCTTACGACAACCATGATTGTAAGGATTGCGGAACCGTCCATCTGGTCCTCGAAGGTACGAGTAACGAGCAGCATTTGCCATCTCATTCGTGGTAATATTTCGTGCTATCTGCATAAAAGACAAGGATATCAGTTTAAAGGGTGTACAAACTACTCCCATTCATGTAAAATTGTCTGACTTCCAAACAAATCATGATAAGATGTAGACGTCCATGATTGCAGAGAAAGGGTATGCCAATCATCAACTGATTTGCTGATGTATTTTGGCTTTATGGAAAACTATGGTGGCTCGATATCCATGTTAAACAAAAAAAATGATATTGCAAATCACAAGGTTCTCTACCCTGGGACTTGTGCTACATTAGAAATGATTTCAGTCAACCATTCCTATTCTGGCATTTGACTTTTAGTCATAAGAAGTTAGTCTACTAGTTTCTTTTGTCTATTCATCATTGACTTTGCTTTTTTATTTTACTTCCATTTTTCCAATAGGTACCAGCTGGTATACCATCCATACCACCATGTACTGTATCAAACAACTGGCTCTCGGCATGGACCAGTACTCTAGATTCAATTCCTTGGCCTCAAAAGCATGTTTCTGTTTTTAAAATCTACATGAAGTTCATTATAATAAAACACAAGACAAGTTTTAATCAGCACTTATCACCATATATCATTTAGTTGTACCAATGCCAAGTTGGTCGCAGCCAACTCATGATTCCAAAATTGTACAAGAAATCAATGAAACCAAACCATTACCTGCGATGCCTGTACCACTGCCAAAGTCAAAACTCCTGATAGTAAAATAGCATCCATGCCCAAAAATAGTATAGCACCAGGATGTTCCACCACTACAAGATGAATCCATTTCTCGGACGACGGAATTATAGGTGACCATGTCCACAACCCTGTTATGCAACAATGTTAGTTTAAGCTTTATCTGGACATGCCAACTTAATTATAAAAAAAAAGGGTTTTTCCCTGATCATAGCACTCACTGTGAACTGCAGTGACAGCACCAATAAATGCTGTTAATGTTCCCATACAAACAAAAACAAAAAAGTCCCATCTATTTTTCTGCAAAACAAAAAGAAAATTCAAATCATAAAGCCAATCAGAAAAGGAAAACCTGCAGGCCAAAACATCTGAACCAGATCGACAACATGCTTGTTCATGTCATGTACTCTGAAGTCTAAACCACAATCCGTGTTTTTATTACTATATGCTTGAGTACAGTCTCAATTCTCACCTTCCCGACACAATTAGATATCCAGGGACAATGATGGTCAAATTGCTCCACACAGTGCTTGCAATATGGACAGTGTTTAGATCGTACAGGTCGAATTATCTGATGACAAGAACAAGAATCAGATTTCTCCAATATATGTCAAACAAAAAAAATAACAAAATGCTAATGTCCCTGAGAACAAAATACTGGCTGCTCATGAATTTGGCATCACTGCTGGAAAAGGGAAAAAAGCACCACATAGCAGAAACTACCTTGCATGTAGCACAGAGTTGAGACCAATTGCCTTTCCAAATGGATGAGTTGCTGATATCAATGTCCAGCAGAGGATCCTATTGGATATTCCAATTGCAGAAATTAAAATTACAGAAGTTAAGCCAAGATCAAAGAAAAATGTAACTCCATAACAAGTGGATTCGATTAAGACAGAGTGGTGCCAACTGACATTGAAACATGTAGAGAAATCACCTATAAGACAAAGATCACCAATTACTAATGCAACCAACTCACATGACTCGATGTCTATTGGTCTTATTTTTTCTCTTTATTATTGTCACAACCCAAGCTTGATGGGCTAACTAGCCCATCAACTTCATTTGACCAAAGCTACTGGTCAAAATGTTTAAGCTGAAGATGATAGTAGTACACTCATCAAACTTTTATAAGTCAATCTTAGTATTGCCCACTTCTGATGTGAGACTAATTAAGGTGTTACAATTTTCCTCACTCAAGGGCTTAATATCATCGTCAAGGCCCAACATAGCCCAAAACAAACCCTAGCATGGTGCATGTGAGGCATACCCCAGCGATGGCTCCACGTCGTGACGAGTCTTCTGACTCCATCCACGGATAGCCTTTCCTACTCGAGCCCCCTCACCATGCCCAAATACTATAATACCAAACGTCACGACCCAGGCCTAATGAGCTAACTGGCCTATCAACTTCGTTTAACATAAACCACTGGTCAAAATGTCTAATTTGAAGTTGATAATAGTACACTCATCAGACCCTTATAAGTCAATCTTAGTCTTGCCCACTTCCGATGTAGGACAAGGATATCAAGCCCTTGAGTGAGGGAGATTGTAATACACCCGATTAGCCCCACGTCGGAAGTGGACAAGATTAAAATTAACTTATAAGCAATGTCTTCAATTTCGAATAATACCGCCCGATACGGGCGGTATGTACCGGTTCGAATATATATATATATATATATATATAATAAAATGTGACGGGGACGCGACGTCGCCTTTTATAAAAATATTTATATATAAAAAAATCTTTTATATATAAATATATATACGAGCAAATGTCGAAACTCCGGTACGGTACGATATTTCAATCCTTGCTTATAAGGATTTGATTGGTGAACTACTGTCAACTTCAGCTTAAGTATTTTGACCAATGGTTTGAGTCAAACGAAGTTAATAGGTCAATTGCCCCATCAGGCTCAGATTGTGACATTTAATATCAGAGCTGACCTAGTATATAGGTATAATAAGGGGGCTCGAGTATGAAAGGGCTACCTGTGGATGGAGTCAGATGACTCATCACGGCGTGGAGCTACCACTGGGCTACGCCTCACATGCACCATATTAGGGTTTGATCTAGGCTATGTTGAGCCTTGACGAGGACGTCAAGCCCTTGAGTCGGGAAAATTGTAACACCTCGATTAGTCCCACATTAAAAGTAGGTAAGATTAAGATTGACTTATAAAAGTCTAATGAGTATACTACTATCAACTTCAGCTTAGGCATTTTGACCAGTGGTTTAGGTCAAACAAAATTGATAGGCTAGTTAGCCCATCAGGCCCGGATCATGAAAATTATAGTAAGCCTTGTGTACTCAAATACCGTGAGCTTATGATTGCTTCCACAAAGTAAAAAAAAATGGTTCAAGTTCAATTTGGATGTAGCCAAACCAACCATCCAATTCAAACTACCAGAAGCCAAAACGAAAACAAGTCTAATTTACAATGGCATATCCACAAAAATGATTAATTCCAACAAAATCAGGTACCCATTGGATATATGATAGTATCGTATAATTGAAATGACTCACTTTTATTGTTATAGACTAAAGGGCAAAACCAATGCATGAGGACCTCACCAATCCGAGATTTAAGCAAACTTTAACATTTTGTGTCATTAAACAGCACAAATGCACCTTAAGTCACTTTTATTTGAATATGACTATAGTTTTATTTTAATAGAGTAATAGACAATATATATTAAATTTATAGCATCTACTTCAATGTTTTTTAGTCATTAACTATATAAATTCACATTAGGTTGCTTTTATTAGAGTATGACCGCACAAAGCCTTTTTAAGCTAACTTAACACCGCAATATGCAAAAGATAGCTATTGGTCAAATGAAAGGATAAATGATAGATGAGCATAGAGAAACATAGGAATATGAATATCAAGATGGTAATCATGCCTCAAAACTTTATTGGTTATGCATCCTACTCCACTATTTATATGGTCCCATATTAAAAAGGAAGAAAACAAGATACTTTGTAAGCTTTTACATATTCTTTATTAGTTGTCTTTTGTTCTGAAACCTACATAAGTAATTCAACAAACTCACTGGTTATCAAATATGCAATACAAGATCTGAGATGACAGATTCATGCTTACACTTGTACGAGTTGCAGACTTCCCTGAATTTGGTTTGATATAACCTGGATCCTTGCTGTAGAAACTCAATTTAATGAATTCAGTTTGAACATAAAAATTATGTAACACATGAAAAATTAGACAATGCATCACATTAGCATCAAGATTTTGCTGTATAGTGCATAAGTGGATAATTGGCAATCAAAGAGAGGAGTTGCATATATATTGTGCGAGTAGACTGACTAACAAGTGTCTCTTCTGAGTGTCCGATAAATATACTGTTATCAAGAAGAAAATTGGTCCATGTGAAAGATTATCACTTTGTTTCACAGGGGCATATTGACACTTGCCAATCAGCACAACAAACCTCGGCCATGTTTTTGTTGTGACACAACGAACAGCATTTGCTAGTGAACTTCAGTAGTAAGAAGTTAATGTACTTATGTTCTTAGTCACCTGATCCAGAACCTACACACCCCTACCTGATCCAAAACATAAAAACACTGGTTTATAGCTTATTCTTGATTCCATATACCAGTGAAGGTAGAGCCAAATGTTTTCTCCCAACTTACATGAAAGTAGAGGCATTCTAAGAATCAAGGCTCTAGATGGGAGGTCTTTGATAGCACAAACAAAAGGTGTTTGTCTGTTCTGCTGGTTTGGACAGGTACTAATAGTACGGTCTTAAACTATATGTTACTGAAACTGTTTTAACTTTTTTAAGTATGATAATAGTGAAGTAGCACTTCTAAAGTACAGAAAAATGAAAAACAGAACTGCAACTCCAAATCCTTAACCACAGCATTCAATGAAGACGGATACTGAGGAAAATCAATGATTGTGCAGAAGAAGAGCAAATATAACATAATATTATATTTTCAAAAACAAAACCACTTGTCAGACTATAACAAATAAGTTTCATCCCTTAAAAAGATAATCAACCAGTGGGACCAAGCCTATACCTTACATGCCACAGCTTTGTAACCACCCTAACCATTAGGAAGATCAATTTGGTCCCACTGGCCGCAGATTCGATTTACTTGCTATCCAAATTATGTACTGATGTATGAGCATAATGTCAAAAACTACACCTAAGAAAACCATTACAAGGTCCAAAAAAACTTGTTAAAATGGACGTTTAGATCAACATAAAAAGCAATTAACAAACCACCGAAAAGTGAAAAGTTTTTTAGCACTTAAGAAAGTCAAAATATAAGACCTTCCACTGAGTGATTGTATGCATATGAGGCAGGTATATGAGAATTCAACAGTTCCCTATTTTATGACCCTGCATATTCATTGTCCATTTGAATACAACCATGTAAATAAGACAAGGTGACAAAATATCAGGTGTATACCAACATAAAAAGTTACCTGCTGCATCTATAAAACATTATCAGTGAAACAACTGCAAAAGAAACACCAGTCCAACCCCAGAGCCCAACAACTGCAGTGACCTTCGGAAAACTAGGTCCTACAAATAGAAAGCCAATTAAAAAACTGATTTGCAAGCATGACGTGAATAAGTTGCCAATCAGTAGCTCCTAGCAAAAGCAGAACCCACCTAGAAGAACAGAATTGATGAATAGAACGGTTAGAATAATAATGACAAACAGAAGAATAGGAGCATATCCAGTCGTCCCAATCGTTCCAGCACAAATTTTGTCTTCACACAAACCGCCATTAATCTTTGCTGCATTGGACTACAAATATCACAGTAGACTAAGCATAAGTAACATTCATAATGTCTATGGATTACATATACCAGACTAAATAGAACCAATATTCAATTTCCTAATGAATTCAGCACAACAACGCATGATTGGTATGATTAAGTACACACAGGAAAAATATTGCCAATCGCACATATAATATTTTGAAATGCCATATAAAAGATATAATTATGATAGTAACTAAGCCAATTTCAACCAACTCAAATGCATATATCACCCCAACACACATGTTTTGTTGCGTTTACGCAGGTGCTTTGGGTGCAAATGCCAAGCACAACCATAATATATTTCCATAATCATACAAATGGAAAAGAATAATGATGCGAAAGGAATGTGATAATGGCAGCAACAGATGATCCTCAACTTTATCCAATAACTTTAATAATAAATAGCTTTATTTCAAATGGTAAATTGATAAATATTATGAATAAATACAATGAAGAAAATAGCCTTTTGAGAGTAACATACAAGAACATAAGCCACATGCCGATGGCCTCTGTTAGCTGCAAGCTCAGCAGGAGTAAACCCACTTTTATCCTTCACCTGCAGTTCACTCTTATTGCCGGCATGCACAAGCACAGTGCATGCCTCCACATTGCCACTTAATGCAGCCCAATGCAAAGGTGTGCAACCTGTAGCACAATCAGTAATTTAATTATACTTCAATGGCATTATATAAATGTATATGGAATGGCCAATTCAATTGCATGCGAACAGCTGATTAAATAGTCAATAAACAATATAAAAAGGGTGCAAACCCAATGCACAAGGTTCTCACCAATGTGGACCAGTCAATGCAAGCAGTCTTGCCACTGTAAGTAAATAGGTTGTTTTCATGACCCCTGGTCACTTGGTTAGAGAAGGGTAACCTTATCATTATACCAAGGTTTAACCTTGGTCAATAAACGAGCATGTTAAACAATATCCAAAATGAATCTACCAAATTGCACTTTCTTTCAGAGTTGAAAACATCATGTTTGAAAATGTAACACAAGTATATCAATGTGGAAATGTAGCCACTTCAGACTAGATAATTCTCTATGAGAATCATGTGGAGTGGCAAAAGTAATCATACAAATCCTTTAGCCACATATTGAAAAATCAATAATGCTTGAGATGTTACATAACTGCATTAATAGATTCTAATCAGTTGCATTGTTTGATAATGTCTGATGTAAAAAAAGATAATAAAATATATCTTTGAAGAAAAGATGTATTCCAGATTTTCAATTCAGATGTTAGTTTGATCAAATCAAAACTTTTAAATTGAGAATTGTTAATGACAAGCTGGGGACCAGTAAATATAAAAACACAAGAGACTTAGACTTGAGCACAGATTCTCTAATCAAGCTAAGAGAAACTAATTGCAATAGATTTCTAAGGAGGCAATAACAAATTTGACCAATAAACACCAAATTTTAGAATACTATGGAGTGTTTTAACATGTTGAATTTTAGTGCGAGAGAAAGCCTATAGATGTCCTGTTTCGATGAGATGAGCTGAGATGATTAAGATTAGTAAAGCGAGAGAAAAAGGAAGACCAAAGAAAAAAAGAGATTTGACTGCTTTTTGTTTGACCTATGATTGGATTGGGGTTTTATATGTGTGTGTGTTTGAGGGGACATTCATGTGGCACCACAATTAGTTAGGATATTGTGACTTCTTTTTGTTTTAGTGCCTAGTGTATAGGGATTTATAAAAAAGGTTTTTTTGTCAAAAAAATGAAATAAAATAAGAAAGTCATGGGAAAAATATTGATAAACAAAATCGAAACATATGTTAGACATGGTCTTTATGCATTACAATTGCCATGTCTCACACTCAAATCTAAGAAGCTTCAAGCTTATTTAAATATTTACATCTAAGTCAACTAACCTATTGTAGGCTTTAAAGAAGTTGCAAAAAAAATTCCCAGCATATAATACTGTAAATTGCAGTATATGTTTCTGAGTGCTACTCGCAAAGCAACTAGTGTAACAAGCTGCAAAAGAATATTTTCTATCCATCAATTATTACATCCAAAAAGTATATTGGCACAACAGCAAGAGAAAGGTCATCAGAAACTTATTTACTGAATTTACTATATTCTTTAGGATTTCATGCGTGCAAATGACCAGTACTACAATGAAAACTCAAGTGAAAGCCCTGAGGAGGTACCTTTTTCATCTTGCCTCCCTTGGTATGCATCCCTGAAGAGAAGTAGCCTGATGGTATCAGCATATCCCTTATAAGCAGCCCTGAGTGGTGTATTAGATTTTGAAGATTAGTAGTAAGCCATACACAGAAGTTTAAATTAGATAAAAATGCCATAATAAAATTCTAGTCATGCCTTTTTCTTTAAAAATACATTAGGATCAAAGGTGAAGTATAAGTTTTGTTCATTTATTGGTCAAAATGACAGATTAGAACCAAATTCAAAGGTGAAGTACAAGTTTTTGTTCTTATTCAATTCAATTGTAAACATAGTACCAATCAGCAAAGTCTAGCAAGCCTGCCTACATTCCTAAGCCTACTGTCATAAATATGAGATCTAGACAGTAAAAATATTTTACATAAGCAACTTAATAACAAAAACATAGGATAATATATCAAGATCACTACATACCAATGAAGTGGGCTCCTTCCATCATTATCTGGTGCGTCATAGTCTGCACCACACTTCACAATAATATGATTTAAGAATGATGTTTGTCCATACTGTGCTGCAACATGAACTGCCTGATCGCAAAGGTACCCACAAATAAAGATGTGGTCAATATAATGCAAAGAACAAATGATAACGGCTATTTACATGCCCTGACTCTTGAAGAACTGAAAGAAAGTTTTGAAATAATAGCTTTAAATTACAAAACTAACAAGAAATCTCAGTGCAGAAATTGAGCCAATGAACAGACTAAGAAATCTGATTGAACAGGCAGAAAAAGGTGCAGATATGGATAATTTACATGATTTTTCCATCAAACAATCTAAGGTGGCGATAGCATGGAGCAGTTCGAGTGGTAGGGCACAGAAAAATAAAGGTTGGAATCACCAAGAGATATGCAAACGTACATGTATATGTATTATGTATATGGACATGCATATGTATATGTACTTCCATATATACAGGATATCTTTTATCAAACAAAATACAATCATTTGTATCTAATAAGCATACAAAGCACGACATGACATGACATGTTGACTGTTGAGTTCACATTGGAGACATATTCATGTATACATGTCCAGTGCAAGTCCAGCGCAACCACCCTATGTCGGAGAGCATGCAAAGAGGAAGAGGAGAGAGGAGAAGCAGTTGCATACAACACTCACAGCCAAAGAAGGGGATAAGAAAGCGGCGTCAGACCTCTTGGCAACCAGACACTGAAAGTTAAACCGTCACCAACACTACGGCCTAAATCTCCACTGGATAACCCAATCTCCACCAAGAGAGAGGCATGTGCAAGATGGGAGGACATGCAAAGGGTGTTTCGGAGATTGGGCATCCATGATTCAAGAGTTTCAATTCCACAAGTCGTGAAATCTTTTATTCTATCCCATAGTCATGACATCTATTATTCTATAAGAAGAGATCCAATCCAAGGCCAACTTTGAAAAGAATCTTTATCCTCACCATTGTATTACATTACCAAATAACATCACAGAATAGGACACAATAAACAAATATCAAAATTTTCAAACTATAAGTTAAAAAAATATCACCCATTATCCTACAATAATAGAAATAGATATAAATGTAGTGTTTTTGTCTGTGTCCTGCCCTTTCAACATTTGTTGAGTCATTGCATGTGTCTGTGTATGTCCCATGTCTATGTTTGTTGTTGTTAGATTTGTATTAACTTAAGGGAAAAGGATATAGAATAGGTAATTATCTAATATTAGAACTAACTTTGTTATATTCATAACCAACAATATACATGAAAAGTAAAAAATATCTCCCGAAGTTAATTGCCCATCAAAATTATAAGGCACAATAACTCCTATTATGGGACTATATATGAGATTTGGTCTAGCAATGAAATGCAATGGGTTGATACCAGGCATCAGAGGAATAGTTCCAACTTCCAACCATACAAGCTAAACTACCAGCTAGTCAAAGTTCCATGAACTACATGACCCAAAAACTGAACAAAAGGAGTTTGGAAGGTTCATGCATGCTTGAGCTTCAATATATTCAAAGGTTTTGATAAACCTAAAATCAACAAGACAAAAAAAACAACACCATCAGAAAGCCAAAATGTTTTTATTATTTGGGATTGACTGCATTGATCTTTTCCCACCATGGAGCTTTGACAGATATAATGACTTAAGTTTGCTATTCCACATTGGAACCGTGGATTCAATAAGCCAATCAAAATGTTTGATTAGTAAAAATGTAAAGTCATCGTCAAAAGTCAACAGCTACTGCAAAACAGAAACCATAAAATGTATTAATCTGGAGACAAAGACATCTTTCCTAAAATCTTGCAACATCAAATGCTTTGCTTAACCGGTTATAATCCCTTGTATCCTTATAAGAAAACAAACTAACCACATCATCCAAAATAAATCAGAGACGGATCATGTTACTCAACAAGGAGTGAGTGAGACACTACGTTGGTAGCCAACGCCTAACAAACATATTCATGGGCATCTAGATAGGGAGTTACCCGGTACCCATTAATGTCGGCAGCCTCAACCCGAGCTCCACTCTGAACCAACACATCTGCCACAGGAATCGACCCATGTACCGCAGCCCAATGCAGAGCAGTCTGCCTCCTGTGGTCAGCGGCATTCACATCTCCACCATGCTTCGGAAATAAAAGAGGCCACAACAAGATTTTAAATCCTACCCATCCAAGAACAGTAAAAAACCATAACTTAGCCGCCGAATAGCCTACCTCGATCAGGTACTGCGCGACATCAGGAAAGTTATTGAGGGCAGCCCACTGTAGGGCGTAATAGCCATGTCCGTCCGGGTTGGAAACCGACTGCCCGTCCCTCTCCACGAAGCCCCGGAGTTTCTCCAGGTCGCCATAGGCGGAGGCGGAGCAGACGTCGACGATGGGGTTGGCGATCGGAGCGCCGGGGCTTCCGTTAGGGTTCCGACCCGTGTCGCCGTTCTGTTGGGGTTTAGGGTCGACGACGAGCTCGATCTCCGTCATTTCCCGACAGCTTCTAGGGCAATCAAGGATTGATCGAGGATGTAGCAAAGAATATTGGACGATTTCCAGTCGGCGACACGATGAAGGAATCGCCGCCTTATTGAAGAGAAGACCATCGTCAGCTGCGGAGTGGTTGGGACAGCTTCCGCTTCTAGATGAACAGAGGGTCAAAATAAATTGAAAGACGCCTCCGTTCCGGTGGTCTGCAGGCATAACGTATGACTAGAGTTAAGAACCTAATATACTTGTAATGTTGAAACTACAAATGATGAAAATTAAATTGTTGTTTTCTGTTTTTGTTATGAGCTATTGATTAAATCTTCATGCCTAGAAAATTAAATATGGAATTTTGAGTGGTTTTAACGGTATAAAAAATATTTTTTTATAATTTTATCGAATATTAATACAAATCAAGGTTATTTGGTATACGCTAATGTTTTAATATATATATCATTATAATTATTATAAGATAATTTGATTTGAGTGCATCATTGATTATCAGGAAGTAAATATTTATTATAATTGATCAGGAGTATATTATCGACTAATCTTCATCCGACATGTTATCGCTATGTGAAGTTCTCGATAGGAGATAGAGATTCAAGTCACATTCCACTCGCCGACTAGCATAAATAAAAATTCAAAATAAACAATTCGAAGTTGTCCTCCTTTGTCCACGTGGATAAGAAGTTAATAGGAACGATTAGAGACAATAAGAGACTATCTCCAAATATAATATTTTTATCTCTTTGTGCCCGGACATAAAAACTCATATTCAATATGATTAATAAGGATCTACGTTTTTTAACTACTTTTGTTTGCACTCAATCATCTTACGTTATTAATTTGGGCATCGGAGGAATCAATTTGAAATACCTCTTATATTCTTAAATTTTCACGTAAGTAATACATTAGGAGCTCATTATTTCTATCTCAACAACTTTTATATATACAAATTCAAATTATGATTTTTTTCTCCTAACTATAATTATTGTAGTTGGAGAGAGGTTTCATGTAGTCTAACAGGTAAAAAGTTTCACAATTTATTATAAAGCTCTGAACTCATTTTCATCACTTACCATTTACACTATAGATTTTTATTTAACTTTGAAATTAAATATATTTATTTTCATATAATATACTAACAAACTAAATATATCCCAATATATATCAATTTTAATGAAAATTTCACACGGTGTTTTATGCTATTAAGAAGAGGACTGATAAGAATATTGCTCTAAAATAGATTCTAATATATTTTTTAAGATATGATTATAGAGAGGCTCTTCAATATTGGAAATTTTTTAAATATTTGATTTTAAAAATAAAAAATACATCAACATCGAGCACAACAAAACCATTAATCGATTAAATGAATCCATTCTTCTCCTATGAATCCATCTCGTGGTGTATTCATTACAAATTAATTCACTAACCATCTAAACGCATTACAATAACCCCTATCGTAATCGATTTTGCTATTGAAATTAGAATGCAATGAGGAGGTCTAAAAGATTGATGTTTAAATAAATAAATAAATAAATACAAAAATATTAGATTTGAAATAGAGATTAATGCATAAACGAAGAGAAAAAAAAAATACTACACATTATTAAATGATACCAAAATAAATAAAAATAGAAATAACCTCACATAAAATTAGATGAACAAGCACATAATTAAAATATCGATTAATACATGAGATTTTTTTATTTTCATAATTATCTATGAATTAGAGATTAATGTATAAATAAAAAAATAGATTCGATATAGGGATTAATGCGTGAATGAAAAATATTATAGAGAAATAAATAAAACAAAAAAAGCATTATAAAAAAAATAGATGAGCACCAAAAAAGGATTAATGTATAAAGAAAAAAAGAATGCTAGATTTGAGATAGAGAACAAATGAAAATAATGTTACATAATTAAATGAAAAGACTAGCAAAAAATTATAGGAGCATAAAATAAAGATTTTGGATAAATTATTTTTTTTAATAAGTAGATATTGGATAAAGATTTTGTACAAATTAACAAAAATAGAAATAAATGTCTAATTAAAATTTTAAAAATATATTTTGGATAAAGATTAATACAAAAATGTCATACAAATAAAATAAAATTAAAAATAAATGGAGAAAATAATATAATAAACGAGCATAAATTCGAATCAAGATATTTTAAATACAAAAGAAATCAATAAGTATTAATGCACAAATGAAGGAAAAATGTTATACAAAATAAATAAAATAAAAAAATAAATGGTGAAAAATATAATAAACGAACATAAATTTGAATTCTATAGACCTTTGAGGCTTTTCGGTCTTTTCACAAATAGATTGGACCGAGCCGGTTGGAAGTCCAGTCCTCGGTTCTTCCGGTCCGACCGGCGGGTCTTGTCTTAGTATAGTAACTACGTTCAAAACCCTAAGCCTGTCTGCCTTCCGTAAAACCTTCCCTCGCCGCTCCCACCACGCCGAGGACGAGGTGGTCGTCGAGATGGACTCCCTCGATTTCAAGGTGGGGGAGCTGTTGAAAGAGATTATACTCGACGATTCCGCTATTGAAACCCTAGACCGAGCTGTCTCTTCCGTCGCCGATGCCATCGAGTCGATCCCGGAGCAGCTGGTCAGCGCCGACGCGGCTCCCAAATTCGTGGCAGACCTTGGCGTGCCCACCGATAAGAAACTATCCTTTACGTTCAAGAGCCCGGAATCCATCCAAGTTGGTGGCAGCCACTCGATTCGATCCGTCGCGAAGCCAGACATCAACGTCGACCTTTTAGTTCGGATGCCCAAGGTGAGGAAAGAGATTTGTAAGCGTTCTTGTTTTGTGTGTACGTGTGTTTTGCGACTTGTTTTTTGGGTACTGCAATCAGATATTGTTGTTGTATTTAGGAATGCTTCCACGAGAAGGATTACTTGAACCATCGGTACCACGCTAAGAGGCTCCTTTACCTCCGCGTGATCGAGAAAAGCTTGACAACATGCCCTGTGGTCCGAAAGATTGGATGGTCAAGCTTTCAGAACGAGGCCCGTAAACCTGTATTGATCGTCTTTCCAGGTTCTGTTGTGATATCCAAACATCCTAGTTTTATTCCCTCCTCAACATGAATAGTAATTCCTGAGTTATAATTTATTCGGGAATATAATGGTGGAAGATGACATGGTCCTTGTTGGTGCTGCAGTGGTGAAGTCTGCGGAACTTTCTGACTTCTTTATTCGGATAATTCCAACTGCAACTTCTTTATTTAGTATTTCAAAGTTGAGTTTGACACGGAACAATGTACGTGCATTCACTCAAGGTAAGATCTATCATCAGCTTGTCATGAACCTGATTTCATGGATTGTTCACAAGTTTCATTATCTGTAACTCACTAATACGTTAGAACTATAAAATCTCATCACTGCTTAGGCTTTAATGACATGATCATACTTGACTTTACAGAATGCGGTCAAACTCAAGCAACTCCGAAGTACAATAGTAGTATATTGGAGGACATGTTCTTGGAAGAAAACTCAGAATTTGTGAGGAAAGCTTTTCATGAATGGAAGAGTTTGAAAGAAGCTCTGCTTTTGCTCAAAGTAAGTATCATGTGTTCAGTGATGCAAATATGGATTGCTTAAAGTTCAGAGTGTTTATTCCAGTTTTAAGACTATTTAATCATCTAAACCAGAGGTTCCTGACCATTTTTAAATTGGATCTATCTTGTTTAAGTTGACAAGTACTTTACATGCTGCTATGACAAAATCATCATTCAATTAGTAGAAAAATTTCCATCAATTTTAGATGAATAACCTTGATTTCACACTGCAGGTTTGGGCTCGGAATAGGAGCTCCATCTATACACACAATTGCTTAAATGGTTACTTGATAGCTGTCATATTGTCGTACCTGACTGTAGAATCTGGAGGAAATCTTATAACCAAGTCAATGAACAGGATGCAGATTTTCCGTGTCACATTGAAATTTATTGGTACATGACTCAGCTCTCTGTTTCACTGATTCTCCATCACCATCTGTCACCACAGTATATTCAGTTAACTGCCTAGTCTTCGTAGTTCATTTTTTTTATAATTTTAATTCTTTGTTCTTAAATGAAAATCTGTTGTGGATATGTATGCTTTTAAGGCATAATGATAATAATTTTTCTGATTGAATTCTATATATTTAGTAGATGAGCTGGAGTTGGTTCCACATTCAATAAAGATTGTGGTTCCACAATTAAATTTATAGAGATGTGACTTGTGACGAGGACTTGGTAAAAGACTGACGAGGACTTGGTAAAAGACTAGGACTTTTATTGGATTGGATTCACCAATGATCTAAATCTATACCCAGTACATTTATGGATCCTAAATGAGGTTTTGTACCTAAAATTTAAGGTCAGATGCATTATGGGTGTTGTACTTACACATTATTGGGTGTAGATCTGGATCTATTTCTACTCAAATAAGTTTATTGGCTTCAAAAGGAGGATCCATAAATGAGATTTCGTTTTAGATTTGAGTTAGTTTTTGGGTTATAGCTCCATTGACATTCATGATTTTGGTGTGATTTCTCTGAAAAAGTAAATTCATGATTTTGGTGACAGCAAAACTGGCTCTTAATTTCTTAACTGTCTGATGTGCTCCTTAAAGCACTGAGCTATTATTCATTTCTTTTCTCAGCAACTTCAAATTTGATGGGCAAGGGCCTTTGTCTTCAGCCTCGAGGTCAATGTAACAAATCCAAGGAGGTGTGTGGATTGTATTTTGTTGCTTCTGTTTTTATGTCTTGACATCCTGTTACATGCTACGATGCTGTTCATATTCGAACTAGTTTCTTTAGATTTATCGGGCTAGTTAATTAACTCTTCTATCAGGGTTAAATATCTTCCCCTTTTATGTTCAAATTAGGTGGTCATTGCATCCTCATAAAAGAATTTCTGCTTGCATGTTCTGTTACATAAACTTTAGTAACTTTCTGGCTGGAATGTTTCAGGATATGAATCAGTTCTTGCAATCTTTCGATATCATATTTTTGGATTCATCTTGCTCTTTCAACTTGTTCTTTCGTCTGACGAGGACAGCTTTTGAGGAGGTTTTACATTTACTCTTAGCCAGTGTTTATTTTCAATTTTTTGTTTCAACTTGCTCTTTTCCTGGAGGCTCCGAGAATCTACATTACCAT